CCTGAGAGACTAGTTCAAACAACCTCTCTAGCACCTCAAACACACCGCGCCGGGAGCTCATATGCTAGCTCAAACAATCTCCCTACTAGCACCTCAAACGCGCTGCGCTGGGAGCTCAAATGCTAGCTCAAACAACCTTTCTAGCACCTGAAACACATTGCGCTGGGAGCTCAAATGCTAGCTCAAACAACCTTTCTAGCATTTCAATTGCACTGCTTGCCCAGCTTGCCACTCAGCTTGCCAATTGGGAGCTCAAGCCACTCAGCTTGCCCAGCAAACCCTCTTGACTGCTAGTTTTTTTGGCTGGGACCTTTGGGCCTCAGCTAAAAGTGAGCCAGACTCACTCACTCACTCACTCACTCACGCACGCACGCACGCACGCACTCACTCACTCACTCACTCATTCATTATTTCAGGGGGTGTATACGGGATTCTTCGTGACTCTGATGATACCACAAGTATCATCAGATTGTTCTCCAGGTGTCCCGTTCTTCCAACGGTCGGAAGGCGGCTATATAAGTGACCGAATGTGACCGGGCTGAAAAGTGAGGGTGGTTCCAACTGGTGAAGTGGCCGAGTCGACCATCGAAACTACAAACATTTTTGATGTTCAGTTCTTCTTTCCTGGCCTCGGACTGGTTCCACCCTCCAGGACTCAGAAAGGCATCAACAAGGGGTAACCGTTGTTCCCAGGTTTCTGGTTCTGGTACGAGTTCTCTGTGCAATTTGTTTGTTGTCCTCTGTCTTTGCTAAGAACTTGTGTGCCAAACATTACCTACTTTGTGGGAATCAACTCCCACAGTCAGCTGACCCCCAAAACCAGTGGCGCCCGATCCAGAAACCCCCCAAACCAAGCCCTAAAACCGCTCGTCCCAGTCTCGGGAACATCGCGGTTCGTCCAGTCTCGTCGGTCCAGGAGCCTTCCATTGAGACCCAGAGCCTCAGCCTTCACGTCGCCAGGTACCGGTGGGAGTCCCGCACGGGACCGTGTAGCGTTGCTCACGGAGGGAATAAGTCTCATAGTTATACTTCAAAAAGACAAGGCTCATATCCCTGTCATGGCTATTTAGGGTATTGAACTCTCATTTTCATCCATTTAGGGTATTGAATTCCCAGACCGCCGCAGACGGGGGCAGACCGCCATCCTCCCACGACCAGCGGAGTTCCACCGCGACCAGCAGAGGTCAGTGGCCTCGTTCTTGGTCGCTCTGATGGTCACCGCAGTGACCGCGTTCGAGGCGACGACGGGGCGGCAGGTCGTCCGACGCCGTCAGACGCTGCGACGACGCCCCGGACACCGGGCGCGGTGGTGTGGTGGTGTGTGGAAGCTGCTGTTCCTTTAGGGTTCCAGGCTGGTCCAGGGTTCGAATTCCCTTTCCAACCTGCATGAGTCATCCATATATTCATGCCGCCTTCTCTAACAGTGACTAGTGAACGAGTCCCTTTGGGTTGATGCGTACCACAAGGTTCGCCGGGCGCTTTTTTGCTTCCACAGTGCCACAGCCTTGCACGACGCAAAGAAGGGACTGAAACTTGGGGGTTGGGGGATTTTGGGGGTTGGGGAGGTTGCCTGGATCGAAGCTTGGGAAGGGGTGAAAGTTCTTATATAGGCATGGAGTAAAACATGGAAGTGGAAACCGCCCCAGTTTGTAGAGGAAATGGGTCCACCTCCAGAGGCCATGCTATCCACCTCCATGATTGTTTCATGCTCACAAATTTGTTCGCACTTCAAAAGTTGTTGTTGGGTCCCTCCCAAAAAACGCGTTCCACAAAAGCACCACTTTCTCTCCAAACCGAAAGAAGTGCCCACCGTGATCACCACCGTCACCACCGTGTGAACCGGTCGACGTGATGAGCTCGACGTGTTCCGCCTCATCACCGGTCGACGTAGGGTCCGCTGGTGAGTGCAGCCGTGGGATCAAGCTACAAGGCCGGGGGGTCGTATTTTTGGACGGCCACGTTTGCCGATCAAAGAGAGGTGGAATCGATTCCAAAGATGCTCAAACCCACAAGAAGCGAAGCGCAGAGCAGGTTTCAAATGGTTTCAGGCAGGTTGGCACGTTTGTATATATCAGAAGCAGCTTGCAAGCTCATGATCAGTGCACCATTTAAGTAGGCTCCCCAGAAAAAGTGTGAGCACTCTGATAATAATATTTTCTGCTAGCAGCTGGGCCACCTCAAGAAGGGTATCTCAGGACACATGTCACAGAACCCCAATCAAAAACAAAGGAAATAAGTCTAATTTTGAACTATTGTATAACCACTACAGATGCATCCCACTACCTTTCCATGCCCCTCTCTAATAGGTAGGTTGTTGTAGGCGTTGACTAGTTGTTTTCCTGCTAAAGAAAGGCCATTTGTTCAGGACAGGGAAACGGCCATGACTAGCACATCGGTGCCATCAATGCTTCCTGTGTGGCACTAGAACATCATTTACGCAAAACGCAAATTCTTGAAGGATTCATCTTCAAAGAGACTGTCCTGAGAGAGTCGGACTGCAAGAACATGTAGGTCACGTCAAAAACACATCATGTAGGACTGTGACTGTTGGACTGAAGGGATGTGACTGTTGTGATGAGCACTTTGGGATCTTCTTTTGTCACTTCCATGAGGCCGCAGTGATGAGCTATTGGATGTGGGGTCACGTGGCTACATCGTGCGTGCTGCGGGGAAGAGCTGGGAACACTTGCTGGAAAGAGCTTGGAGCTGCACCTAATAGCCTCCAACCTACTAGCGATGGTCTCCAACCTGCTAGCAATAGCCTCCAACCTAGAAGCAATGGCCTCCAACTTGCTAGCAAAGGCCTCCAACCTAAGATGCTGCTCTTCACATCTCAAGAGTGTGTATGGGAGAAACCCCCCATGTCTGGCTCTCGCCCTAGTTCGATGTTCCGCACCGAACCCCCGTGGACCGTGGGAACGCCTGCGACCCAGTCGCCAGTCGGTCGCCATGAACTTCAAGTGATGTGGTCCAGTTTCTTGGAAACCTCCGGTTGCAGGCGAAGAACACCCTGGTTGCAGACCATGTTCCTCTACAAACAGGAGGTTTTCCACTTCCATGATTATTTTAGGGAGGGTATGTGTTCTTGTGCCAGAGTTGAAGATCAGAGCATATCAGAGCAACTGAAAGCAAACAAGCTCTTGAGCTGAAGTTTCCAGGGGACTTTTGACCATGCTTTTCCTTTTCACCAGGTGATTGGGTTGTACTTTAACGGGAGAGTGAAGAAGAAGAAGCGTCCCATCGATCATCGAAGGTTATCTTTGGGAAGGTTTGGGGTAACTAAATCCCATACATCCCATATGCAGGTTCCTTGGATTGAGTTCCTAGCCCATCCTACCAGCACCTATGGTGTAGTACATTAGCATGTGTACAAAAGGCTCCCAATAGCCAGCAGTCAGACCAAGAGTCAAGAATATTTGTAGATGACAGTCAGCCATACAATGCCACATTATAGAGCCGGCAGCCTCATGATCTATCCTGTCTCACGAACCAATTGGCTAAGTGGAACAATGGATGTTCACCGGGTTCCTTGTGTCTGTGCTGTCTTCTTTCCAGGTCAGTGATGGAATTTCACGATGGGGATGTCGTTCGATTCGTTGGAACCGAACGAAACGAGGCCTGGTACCTTGGCGAGAGATTGATGCACAGGTGCGATGCAATGCGAACGAAACGTGGTTCATGCGATACATGTGGTGTGTTTGGTTTCTAGCTCGCATCTTTGAGCTGCTTTCGGATATGCCATAGATGCATGTTTGGAAGTCTCCGGATGTGGTGAGATGTTTGTTTGCGGGAAGTCAGTGGGAAGTCTTAATCGTATAATAAGACAAGTAATATTATAAGACAGTATAAGTATTAGTTATATATATAATATATAGTATATTATAGTTATAGTATGAGGGTAGACTCTCTGCAAGACATCCTCCAACCACTAGAGGGGGCAGCTAGTTCATTCGTATTCCTTTGGCCCCGCCTGCGTTTTTGTCTGACTTATGATGATGGCTTCTCTGCAGGGCATGACAGGAGTCCCCTTGCGCAGAAGTGGAAGGTGGGTCCCCACACCTGTCATGCCCTATAGAACTATAGAGCCGGTCTTTTAGGCTCCTCTACAACCCCAGCCACCGGAAGCAGGACCTACCCAGTCACTGGGAATTGGGGGCACCCCACTGAAAATGAAGAGGTGACAAAAGGTTGACCTTTCCAGGGAAACTCAGGTGGTCAGAGGATTACTTTCGACAAAGTCATAGACTGAATGCAACCGGAAACCTGGGTTGTGGCTTTCATCTTGGAAGTCTTCTGGTGCTACGACTGACGATCTCCGGTGTGTGCGGTAGGTCTTCCACCACCGGCTGATTCTGCTGGCTTTGGCGGGCTTGTCGGTGGGCTGCCTCATAGGCCAGGACAGATGGGGCAGAGGAGCGGAATACCGTGCCAGGGTGCCCTTTGCTCCTAGTAGCATCCTTGCCCCTAGTAGCAGGGTTCTGGTTTCACGTCTTTCTGGCTGAGAATACGAGGAGGGCGAATGCGCTTTAGAGCTCGCTCCCGTTTGCCTCGCCAGGGTTAACTGAGCAGGTAACTACGTTCCAGATATGCCCAGGTGGTCAAAAAGGGTTGTTTTGGCATGCTACCAGTAGTTTGCGGTTGAAGCTCAAGTCTTTACAGGGTAGGACAAGGGTGAAGCATCATGATTGAGAACATCAGGTGCATATACCATGTATACTGTATATATATATATATACACATTATGAACAAATAATATATATATATATATTTATAATAACATTCCATTAATACATTCATATAATGTGTGCATGTATATGTGCATAATAGATCAAGCACAACATAACATTCAATTGTCATATATTGACAAACATCCTAGAGCTGCAGATAGCTGCAGTAACTACCCAATCACCATATATACGCTGTTATACTCGCACCGAAAACTGGTTCTATTGCAATTCTCCCTTTTCCACGTCAGAAAAGCCGGCCTCATCTGCCTCGCCATGGCGCTTCAGCAGCGCGCTGGACGCCGGCGTCGTGCTGTAACTTTGCTGGGTATTCTGGGCGTGTTGGTCACGCCCGGCTGGTTGGGCTTCACACCAACGCTGCGCCTCGTAGATACCGGCACCACGGCCGGCCGCGCAATCAGCGCACTCCGTGTGTGCGGCGTTGGGCGGGGAGCGAAGCAGTGGAAGCGCTGCCGGAATCGGGGAAGGCTGAAGATCTGGTGCTGGGCAAGGGCTATTTGGCCAATGTGACGAAGGTCATAGATCATGATGTTTCATGCAAACAGGAGAACGACACAGACGTTTTTCCCTACACATCGTGGATACAGGACGATGCGTAAAAGAATTTGCGAGTCACTTTGAATACAGCAATTGAAACAAACATTCTGATGGCTCCAATGCTTGTTCCTCAGCCGTCCCTGAAAGCCGCCCCAGAAGCCCTTCTCAGGTGGTTAAGCAGGGTGCAAAGCTGGATCTTGGACTGGACAAACCAGGCTGGGTGCCGATCTCCAAATTGGACAAGCCGGGCGGCGGCTTCATCAAGAAGGTCTCGGAGGTGGTCAAAGTCGGTGACCAGATCCGTGTGATGATCCGCAAAGTGAAGGATCGTGAGGCGAGGCGCACAACATGGTTAGAACATGTCAGAACGAATCTATAGAATCTAGAAGTGGTTAAGGATATGGCGGTGTCTTGGCCCAAAAAGCTGCCATTGCATGGCAGTTTTCAATAGTTTTCATCAATCTTTCCAACAATAAGTTTGGGCAGCAGGCTGGTGGACCATCTAGTCCTCCACTTTTCAGGTGGAGGTGACGATGAAGGCCGTGCCGGAATTTGACAAGCGCCCGCTGAAGGAGTTTAAGGAGGGTGATGTGCTCTCTGGCAAAGTCATGGCGAGTGCCAAAGGGGAAGGGCGCTTTGTGGGGAGTGGCTGGGTCCTGGTGGATGTGGACGCCATAGTGCCAGCGTTTCTGCCCGAGAAGGGTTTGAAGGGGGCCGCTCCTGAGAGCTATCAGAAGGGTCAAGAAGTGAAGGTCAAGGTCGAGAAGTTGACCCGCCATGAGATGAAAGTCATCCTGGAGGACTGAAGGGCGACTGACGGGCTCAAGAATATGCCGCCTTTGAAACTGAAAGTGGAGGAAAATGACATCAGAAGGACTATGAAGGACTCATCAGGAATGAGGGTGCTGGGATTCTTTCAAGAATCTCTCTTGGGGTCGACACTTCCCCCTCCTCATTCCCTGCTTTCGTCGCACCAGAAAATGAAGGAATGTGAGTTTCCTCCAGGCCATATAGGGCCTGCCGTGCCATGCCTGTTTGGTCGAAAATCATATGAGCCCCTTAGATGTTGATTATCATCATTCCTTCTTTACACCTGCCCCAAAAAGACACAATCCGCCCAAGCCGTTGAGTCCAAGAGTCCTTCTAGTTAAAAGCACTGGAGCCCTTTGAATCTTGAGAGAAATCTTCTCTATTCGTCGTGATGTAGCTAGCCCTCCACGGCTGCTGTGCATGCCGTGCATATTGATTGGTGGTAGCTAGGACCTTCCACGTTCTGATTCTATGAAAGATTTGCAAAGGCATCTCTTGCGTCCAAATCCACCTGTGAACCTGTTATTCGAACAGAGCTGCCCACAGAGGATCTATGGGAATCCGCTCACCAGAGCCACCTGCTACCCCAGAATTTCTTCGCATGGTGCTTCATTTTGGCCTCCCGAGTGCTTAGGGAGAACCATTTTGGACCTCTCTTCCGGTCGTTTGGGCTGTCGTTGCATGTTGGAACTTTGCTCCCTCGCGGGGTGTCGCACACTCGCGCCGCACACTTGGGCCGCGCGTGTGACATGCGACAGGCGTCCTTCTCTTCTTCCTCCGTCGCGCAGCCCGTGAATCCCGCTGAGATGCGCACACAGCTGTGGAGCCGCTTTGTGGATGCGGGTCGGTTTTGAGCCTAATGGAGGCACACATCCTTGCATCCCTCCAGCAATGTGCAAGTTCGTTGATTGTCCTTCTTGCATGTTTATCACTACTTGGTCTACGTGGCAGTACTGCTGAGAGAGTTTGTCTGCGAAGCCGGCCCTTACTTATTATAGATAGATATGTTATTTTTAAGGGGTTCATTTCATTTATTGGACATCGTCTATGCCATCTAAAGAGCAACAAACAAACTATACTATATAACAAAAAAATGACATGTGTGGCCCACAACCCTGTGCGGTTATGTACAAAGGTGTCGCTGTGCTGCTTTGGAAGGAGAGTCTCACGGTTCCAGTTGCTCATCCAAATTTAACCTGATGAAACGGCTTTTCAGAGACACCTCCAATATTTTCCGTGTGTTTCAACATTTTTGCCTCAGCACGTTTGTTGATGAACAACCGCCGTGCAGACTTGCAAACATCTTTTTGGCATACTTATGCTCCATCACCGTCAAAGTTCCGGTAGAGCCCTGTAGATAACCCGACGAAGGAAAGACAAGCATTGTCATCAAGCTTGACTAGCTGTGACTAGCTGTTGTCCAAACATACAAACATTTCCGCAATACATGTTCAACGGTGCAGAGTACAGATCTGCTTATTCTTCACACTTTCGTCTTCCGAATTCTCCAAGAAGTGGACTGGTTTTAAACCAGCACACCCTCGGTGTGCTGAACAAGATGCCCTGGGACTTCACGAGCAAATCCAACGTGCTGGGTTTCCTCAATCAGTACGGATCGCTATCATGTGCAAATCCAACGGATCGCTATCATGTGACCTGGCAGCTTCCGTGCAATGAGCAAATTTCAGGGGTTGGGTGTTGACCATTTAAGGCAAAGCACCAATGACGTAGCTATGCCATAGTGCCCCATAGAGGTTTTTGCTTGTTTTTTGTGGTAAGCACGCTATACAATAGACCTTTGAGCATGAGCTGTCCATCTCTCCTACTCGAAGGCTTCAGTTCATCCCGTCTCACCACCACGCCAAAAGGGCGGGGGAGGTCGACCACGGCGAAAGAGAGCGAGATCAAGATCGAGATCTTCAGAAGAAAAGGAAACCACAAGAAGATCGAGAGTCCTAGGGACCCACATCATTTACCTTCTTTGGTTTGGTATGACTGGAGGTATGTACAAGCCTAAATCAAAGTGTGGAACACATCTTGATCCATTGCTGCTGGCCAACCCTTACACATCTATAGACATTTGTGCTCAAGAAGTCTTTGGCATTAAAGACGTTTGCAGCTCCCCAGCTTCCAGGAGTTCTCAAAAAGGCCACCTCGCACACCTCTCATCCATTCGAGCAAGAAAAACCACGTAACACCGACAGCACCAGAGACGACTCCGACGACCAAACACATCAAACACCCGCTGACACCCGCTCACACCCACTGGAGTATTCCACGCGCACAAAACCACGCAGCTTCTTCATCCGAGCCCATGGAGGTGCTGGGAGCAAGCAGTTCTTGAATCTTCTTTTGTTTCTGCACGTTATTGTTTTGCAAGTTTGGAACTTTTGGAACGGAGAAAGCCCTTTGGCTCCCCCATTGAGTCATTCTTTGCCCCGATGTTTTGGAGGTCCATCCGCTCTGATAGACATCGGCTCCGAACGACTCCTTAGGACTCAGCGGTTCTGATGTTCAGGTCTCGTAGAGTCTGGTGAGTGACGAGCGGGAAAAGGAGCTGTGTGGGTCACAGCTTTGGGGGTGCTTTAACTGTTCAGGTTTGGTGGGACTTCCACACTCATTCTTTGGTGTTTTCTTCTTTGCTTGCTTTTGGCCAAGGAACAAACTAGCAGCTAGCGGCTTAGCAGCTAGTTGGTTGGAAGAGCAGACACGTGCTTGATGTTGGACAGTCTTTTTTTTGAGAAGATTTCGATATTCATGATACGTCATGAAAGAATTCGTTTAACACATGTTTGCATTTGTGCTCGCTTGTAGTGGTGATCGGTGCATAATATATGTCAATTTCAAGATTGGTGCCGCTGCACGTTGGCAGCCCAGCTCACAAAAGATCTCCCCCAAAAAGGGTCAGATACTTGGCCATCCGACTGGTATTTGCAGGCCATGCGAAACCTGGTCTTGCTATTGGCTGCTGGCCTAGCGATGCCATTCGTTGCCTCTGGGATGAAAAGGCCAAGGGCAGGGCATTCCGAATCCGTGGTGGTTGGAGGCCATTGCTCTTAGGTTGGAGGCCATCGTAGGTTGGAGGCCATCGGTCCTAGGTTGGAGGCCATCCCTCTTGGGTTGGAGGCCATCGCTCTTAGGTTGGGGCATGTCCACTGTTATCTCCACACCAACAAGAGGGGAACTAGGCCCAGAGGTGGCTGGAGAGTTCGTTCAGTCCCGGAAGTAAATCGTTTGTGGAGGGGCTCGTCTTGTACGGGATGATATTCAGGATCCACATCAATCTCTGGTGTGTGCTTTTATATACAAATGGTTTCAAATGTTTCCTTTGTGGTTTGGATGTTGCTCAAGCCCCCATCATCCTGGTCGGAAAGGAGACTGCTGGGGTCACCCTCTTTGGAAATCCAACCAAGTGTTCACGTGTTCGACATCCTGCACCATTCTGAGGAGAAGTTCCACACATGTTCATGCAGTTTCTGTTGGGGTTCCAGTTGGTGGAAGGATTTCTTCCATCACTTCATCTCGTTCGTTGTCCAGCTTCAACTCCAAGGAGGCCCTTGTTGGACCGGAAAAGCCCTCCGCGGTTGCGCGGAAGATGCAGTAGCTTGGTGGCAGCTGGCCCCCGGTTTCTCCGGGTTTGGAGGAGCGGTCTTGAGTAAACGCACCAGACCCAGTCAGTGGATGACCATTAACATCCTTTGACCTTTTTCAAGGATGGGTTTTCTGCATTCAATAAAGAACAAGAGAGCCAGGTTTTCACCCTGCATAGCAGGGATTGAGACCCTCAAAACCTTCACCTTTGAGGGTCCTTGTTTGTTAAGCGAGTCCTGCAGAACGCCTCCAGAGAAGGAGATCCTTCTTTTTGGACTGCAGGAGGTTCTGCCAGGTTCCTAGTTCCTCCAACAGCTAGTACATTCCCCTGGTGCAGAAAGTCCTCATCCAAGCCAATCTGAGGGTTGCTCTAAATGCCATGGAGAACCTCGTTCCTCGGGTTTGTGACGTGAAGAAGTGGCCTGGATTCCCCAAAAAAGCCCTGAAACCATTCAAGAATACTTTACCTATCCTACTTACGGGCCTGTTGACCTTTCACAGTTGGATGGACCCAGGAGCTGTACAGGAGTTTCTATTTTGATTCGGGGAGATACGCACCATTTCCAGCACGAGAATGACTGAAACAAACAGTGAAGAACTCCAGACCCTCTTCTTTGCTTGGAAGTTGACACTCTTGGGCACCCCGGTTTGCACATCTGCGACGTTTTGTGAGTTGGGATCGCTGGACGTGTGAGGGGGTCTCTGGACGCTCTGAGAAGGTCTCTGGACGCTTTGGGAGTTTTGCTCCTGCACTCCGTGGGCAAGTTTGTCCAAGGACCCATTCAATATAAATGATATCAGCTGACTAGTGTCGCTACTAGGTTAGAGGCCATCACTACTATAGAGGCCATCGCTACTAGGGTGGAGGCCATCGCAGATATGGGGACGTGGGGATCGGATGGGTCGTGACACGTTCACACCGGTCGTCCACCCCCATGTGCACCGACCGAGCTTTTCAGGTGGGTCGGCGGTCAGTCTCCTGGTGGTTTTGACCCACAGCCATGTGGTCGGTCGTGTTCTCGGTCAGTCGTGATGAAGGAAACCTAGAGCGAACTTTTGTTCGATCTTGATCCTAAAGGCTCCTGGACCAACTGCTATACCTGTTGGTGAAGCTCCAAAAGCCATCAAAAGCCTTTAGGGCCCGAGCCAGGAAAGAGTGTCAAAACCGAAGCGAACTAAGGGTCAAGCAGTCAACTTCGTCAACTTCCGAGTCTGTCGCAGAGAGAAGACGTCACACAGATCAAGGCCCCGGGCCCTTGATCTGATCTGCAGTCTTCACCCCAAATCGGCCACACATTGTCATCTTACGAAGCTTGCCTGTCATGCTGTCAGGTCCTATTATGGCTATGGCTATGGTTTCTACGAGGGCTATGAGAGTGGTGAAGGCGAGGGTCGAGGCAGTTCCGAAAATCAGGTCGAACAGAAAGCCCGTTCACAGAAAGGGCCACAGAATTTGGGGGCCTGAAGGAAAAGGATACATGGTTTGAAACCATACATAGGTTTTTGCCGCTAAATTGTTTTCTTTTTGGTGAATTTCCCATGCCCACATGAGTTTCCATGGTGATCACATGATCGTTCACTTCTGATGGAGAAAAAGAAACCACCACGACCACAACGGCTTTCACCTCCGCCGCCCCATGTCTTTTGGTTTGCGCTGTCGGTGAGGCTGCGAGGAGATGTACTGCTACCCCAGCGTCTACACCGAGGACGGTGAAATCGATTGGGACCAGACCTACGAGGCGAAAGGAAAAAGTGGAGCGGTGGAGGGGAAACGAGTGGATCCTTGAGATGACCTGGGTTGAGTGGATACAGTCATCGGTTCGAGATGACACTATATACATCCAGCTGGTTGGCATTTGAAGGGGTGAAGCATGGTGAAAAACACACATCGGTGGCGATAAACACGTGCACTGCACCAGGCATGCATGATTCATGTCATGTCTACGCAAGGCAATGGGGAATTCTATTTGCTTTAGCAGGGCTAATCTTATGATTGAGTGTCACAAAATGTTATATATTATCAATATTTATTAATTATAGTGTTTGTACCGTACCCACAAATTTCTTTACTCCAACTCCATCTTGGTCAGCTCAAGAAGCTACTCCTGGTCATGATCTGCTAAAGAAGAGCCATTCATACCAGCAGTTCCAAAGGGTGCTTCTTGGAGGATAGGAGTGCCCATTATCCTTTCACTTAGAGTCCCATTATCCAAGGAGAGTAAGACTTTGTATGAATCGAGCCACAAGGGATCTGAGGGATCAATTGATCGTCTTGAATAGCTGGTGGTGCTTTCCTTGGCGATGTCTTGGTCGCGCACTGCGCAAGAGAGTGCCTTTCACAGTAAAGTGGTGCTCAAGAATGCTGTCTTGTATACAGGAATGAGGAAAGCCAGAGGTGAGAAGGCAGGGGAGGTGAATAAGACTAAAAATTCATGTTGCCTCTCTGTCCTTGTTTCCAAATTCTAGCATGGCGCAGCTCATGAAGAGTGTCTTCCCAAAGTTGCTTCATGCCGGGCATTTGCGATTTTCGATCCAGCAATCTGAAGATCGGTTCGGCCAATCGGCAGTCAGTTCTGCTCACCAGATGTCCTGTTACGGAACAAAGGGCAGCTCCTCCAGTTTCTTCTTTGCACTTCCCTCACGAATTTGGGCACGTTCCAACAAGATTCCCCTTCTCATCCAAGTGGCAACCGACCAAGAGCCGGAAGCCTCAGATGTGTTCCACACACCGGTGACTGGACCGGTGGCTGACGGGAAACATGCGCCGGCGCAGGCCGAAGCCAGCTGTGCCAGCTGGGAGGAGGGATGCCCTTGCAATGAGGAGTGGGAAGTTCAGTGCGAGAGCTATGGCATGAAGGCTTGGTTCCAGCGTGCGCACGTGGGCGGTCTCGTCTATGGATCCATAGAATTTATGTTGTTTTTACTAAAAGACGATCGAATGGCCTTTCCGATTCATTGATAATCTAACTGTTAATCTAACTGTTACTGGTAATGACATTATGCCCAGAATACGCCACCTGGATGAATCTTAAACCTTCCACATATTATATTTCACCCATATCTCCAAGGAAGATATTTACACCATTCCATTCAACGGATATTGGACTCTGACATCAAATTGGACAATCAACGGGGTGTTGGGATGTTAAGTTTGGAGAGACCATGGAGAAACCCATGTTTCTCACGTTTCAATCCGAACGAGGACGTCGAAGGCTTCGAACGAAAGCGATCCTTTCCAGAGACGAAGCAAAAACGAGTCCGGAAGGTTTGCTTGCCAAAGACCGAAGGTTGCTTGGATCCCTTTGCTGTGGAATGATTCTTGGAGAGAAAGACCGGCGTAGGGAGGAGGGGTCAAGGGCCTTCAAGGGTTCAAGGGTTTTCAGGGCTTCAGGATGCTTCAGGCTCGACAGGCTTAGACTTCCACGCAGTGGCAGTGTGAACTGACAGAAGCATGGCCAGAGGTTGATGATTTGATTGGGGGAGGACCAGTTTTGCGTTTCTCCTGAAGTTTCTACAGTGCTTGAGCTTGCCCGAACCGCTGCGTCTAGTTTTTCTCAAGTGAAGACTACGGGGTTGTTGGCATCGAACCACAGATCCACGCAACGTTTTGATGAAAAACAAGAGATCCGAGCGATCCTTGGCAGTTGTTTTTTGTTTTGAATTAAAGCAAATTTTGTGGATCGATCCCTCCTGCTGAGCAGGAAACACGTGCCGTGTGAACCGATTGATTCGACCCAAAGATGGAGCAAGAACTCAGTGATGAATCCGAACTCAGGAGAAAAGCACAAACTTTGGGGCCTTCAAGGGAGAATCAGATTCCAAGTGTTTGAATCAGATTCTATGTGTTTTTTGACTTCCAGCCGTCCGACAAGGTGATGAAGAGACCGCCCCTCGACAGCGACATGCGGCAGCGGTGGCGTTTTTGGCACACTCCCTTAGGTTTGAACGCTTTGAAGATGATTGAGGACGATTTGTTTTGACATGTGTTTTGGGGAAAGACTGATATCAGCATTTTTGACCACCTTCTTTGTCCAAGGAAGTCAGTTTGTTTTCTTGATACAGTTCACATGCCTTTCCTTCACATTTGGGTCAAGATCATTGGTCAGAACTACCGTCAGAACCATCAGGACCTCCTCCGTGGCTGGATTTTTGCAGGAACTAGGAGACCCCAAAACTCATACAGGTCTGCGTGGGAACTTCTCCTGCGACCTCCAGATCTACAGCTCGCATCCTGAGTGAATGCCTCTTCCAAATGGGACAAATCATTGCCAGTATCATTGCGCTTTCAGAACAGAACATGAACAGAACATGAACAGAACATGAACATACATGAACATACTAATACTGATTATGATATTCTATAATACCTTTAACGGTGTCTTTTCCCTTCAGACCGCGTTGTCCAAAAAAAGGTGGGTTTTTGGGTGAAAGTTGGTGGGGAGGTGAACAGCCAAATGTATACATGGTGTGTTGTTGGCATCCAAACGTCAAAAATAACAAAGAAAACACGTATTTGTTTTTGTCCGTCAGTGTTTGTTTTCTTTTGCTCCTTTTTTTTCATTCCATAGATTTCATGTTTGCAACATGTTGCAACCAGTGAAGGATTCCATTTTGGGGCATGATGTTTGATTGCGGAGATTTTGCACTGAGAAGATCTCATCCGGCAGTCATGACTCGGGTGGTTCGAAGAACCAGGGGGCCTTGTGAAGATGACGTCATAGACCTTGTAACGGCCTGTGATCTCAAATCGATTCCTTTGGATAATTTGGTAAAAACTTGGTCATTTGTAATCAGGGAGGAGGAAGAGCACGTTCCGTACCGGGCGGCGGCGGCTGAGTTCCTCAGGAGGAGGTGTGCAAGGATGAGTGGTCCGCATATTGCTGGGACTCTTGGTATGGAAATGGCGAGGAGTCGAGGAGAAGCACCAGTTACTGAAGAGTGACCAGTTACATATAACCCATGTATGCCAGCCACTTCATTATGGAACACAAAGGGGGGAATGAATACACCAGTGAAGTTGCATGATAACTCTTATTCTTCCCTTTCTTTAAGGTATAGGCATAGGCTAGGTGTGTATATAGTATACACGACCAGTGTTTAACCCCGCATCCCACATCCACTTCGAGTGCTGTAGTTTATCCATTCTTAGGAGATCCTCAGCTCCCCTTTAATCGACCACATGTCCAGTCCTGAGGACAAGGCTTGGGGGAATTGCCCTCTCTTCTGCGGGCACGATGAGATACTCAGCCGCAAAGAGATCTTTTGGCTCGGGAAAGCTGCTTCGAAAAGCCGCCCCAAGTGTTCGAACAGCCGCTCCAAGCTATGGTGGTTCTTAGTCCAAGCAAGTGAGTGGATGTGACACTGGCACCACCAAGCCCACGTTCAAGAACCACCTTGAGCCCTTATCTTGCTGCATGCAGTTGATTCATGTTTGACAATACTCCCTCCAAAAGCTTAATATGATTGTCTGCATTTTCCCACCTGGTTCGAAGGGGTACGGGGCACCCAGTTCATGACTTTCACCATCAGTTTCATATTTTTTGTGCGTTTCTCCAACTGAGGATCTATTGCTATTCCTACAGCTACGATTCCACAGGCATCGTGGGACCTGCGACGAAAGCCGCGCCACGCCCATTTTTGGTTGAGGGATGCCAAAGGCTTGGAAACACCCCAAGAACGGGCGGAGCCCAACGCGGCTTGTTGGAAGTGAGTGTCACTTCCCAGATCCGGAGCCGAGAGAGCCGAGAGAGCCGAGAGCCAGCTGGCAGCTGTATCGTTTTGTTGTTCAGGTTTTTTCAAGGCCGACTTAGACCCTAAACCTATCCTAATTCCTAAACCTTAGCCCAGCTGCCGAGTTGGTGTTCGTGGTTTGAAGAGATCAACCAGTGGGACACTTAGCGGCCAGGAGAAGTCAACTGGACAGCTCCTCACACCGAGACCTGTGCGAACATGTCCACCGGGTGTCCTTGTGACGCTTGGAAATTGAAGCTGAAGATGTGGGACCCGCTGTGTTAGGTGCTGTTGTAGATGGAGTTAGCTTGTTTGTGGATCATGATGTAACAATCTATTACATGGGGGCAAGGAGCAAAGGAGCAAAGAGCACATGTATCCTGCAGGGCGTTGCTGTTTGTAGACAGATTTGCTCAGCGCGGCTTCAGCTGTGCAGGAGTTCAGTTGTCATGATGACATCCACCAATGGCCACTTCAGAGTGAAGAGCAGTGGTTACAATTCGACACCTGGTTGATCCTGCCAGTAGCCATATGCTTGTATGATAGAGCCATGCATGTCTCAGTAAGAGCACATACCCGGAGAAAGTGTGAATGCCTCATTAAGATTAAAGTGCTTAAAGTGCTTTTGATGGTTGCCACTACATGAATAACTGAGGTAATTTCTAAAGTTACTTTGTGTTTGAGGTCCCTGATGTCTCCATGATGTTCCGTGGTTTGCGACCGCCAAAGCGGCCCAGGTTTGTCACTGCTGGTCACGCTTCTATCCATGTTCAGTGTATTGTGAGGAGAAAACCAGACACACCAATCATTGATCCCTGAAACCACCTCAATGTAGGCACATATATGGCAGTCCCATTGGTCGTGTCTGGGTAAGTGTTTATTGTTCCTCACAAAATAGACAAATCTTCCCTCGGTTCCATGGAGCTGCCTCGAACACCCCCGGCACCGTTGCACGGCACCGCTCTGGGAAACGAGGTTTTGCGAAGAGAAGGCAACTCCTCCTCCTCTCCAATTCCGGTTGAAGTGATCGATACAACATCCGCTGCAACGTCCCCGGTACATCCGCTCTAAGCAGCCTCTCCAACCAACCACGTGGACCACCGCGTCGGATACTTCTTTCAGCATCCGCCACTCTCTCAGGATGACACTTGGGAAGTGAGATGTACCGATGCATGGGGCTATAGCTGGTGCAGCCCACAGATACAGTTGGATGGGGCTGGGGCTTCACACCAACCGGAGTGGTCCTAGACTTCCCTCGGTTTTTATCCATGTTTTTCGTTGTTTTTCGCCGCTTCCGACTTCCGAACGGTGGTTCTTGCTGAAGTCTTAAGCGTTCAATTTACACTCCGACTCACTAACATGGAAGTGGAGTTCACCCCCTGTTCGTAAAGGAAAGTAGTCTTCCAAGGGACCATGCCATCCACTTCCATGTTAGTGAGTCAGAGTGTACTCAAAGCGGGTTCAAATCACAAGACTTTAGGGATCGGGAGGTTTTGAGGCAAGTATTAGCGCTGTATGTGTGCATTTAATTGCAAGAGGGGGCCTTTGGATGGTGCCCGTGGCATTTGAGCCACGGCTAGTTGTGTAATCCAGTTTTCACAAAGCTCTCACAATGATACATACATATATAATATATATATATATTATGTACATATCCATATTTTGTTGCCTATATATATATATATATATACATATTTTGTTGCAGTGCAATCCACATTGGCTTAGAATAGGCGTCCCCCCCTGGTAAAGGTAAGGGAACAGCTAGTGGTGGAAAAGGTTCTTGCACAACTAGTCCTTGCTCTCCAGTCCGTGCCCTCCACTGCAGTGGGTCACCCAGGTGCAATCCCAAGTCCTTCCCCTGCCCCATCACCTGCAGCAACACTGAGCAGGCACATGTTCACCTGGGGATCTGGGGAAGGGGAGAGAAACGATTGATTATATATATATATATATCCCAGACACTCCATGTACGGCATATTTACATACATTGGGGTAGTTTTAGGGGTCAATGTAGGTAAATATGCCATACATGGAGTGTCTGGGTATAGGATGACCCTTAGATGATATCTGAGAAGTGCTCCTTCAAAGGAATTTCTTCATGAAACAACATGGATGCATCGGATTGAGTTCAGTGAACCTCCTACCTGGAACTTCCGGTGCTTAGTTATGGTACGTACCTGGAATGAGCACCGCCCAACCGCCTTCTGAGGCGTAGATTCTGGGGTTGACGGTCTGATTTGCAAGTTTTGCAAGTGTCAGTTTCAGATATTGTTTTTGCTTAACTATGAAGGAATAGGCTCGAAAGTACTCGACTGGTCATGTAATCATCGATAATCATTGTATACTTTGCAGGACAATCAATAGGATTAAACTGTCCAATCATCTACAGAACATCCCCTGAACAGTGATAGAATGCAGAACCTTTCATCGAATGATTTAGCATGAAGAATTCAAAAGTGGTGCGCCAAAGCCGGCCTTCGTGATCCAATTGAGTATGCTAGGGGTCCGAGCTGCTCTCATTCCACGGGAGTGGAAGCCATTCATGTTTACAGAGTATACCGTTTCATGCACGGCTTTCGCTGTGGTTGCAACCATGCCTGGACTCCTGCTGCAGGTCGCTCTGTGCAGTTTATACCATTCCCCCGTGGTGTTTGGCGATGCTCCAAAGTCCTGCAGCGGATCAAATCGATTGATTTGAATGTGTTTGTGCAGAATCTGCAGTATATAGTTGTTTTCCAGAAAAAGTTACTAGGTTGCATCTATTGAGAAAAGCTTCACTTTCCAAGCGTTTAGATCTATATTTTTTAGGAAAGCCAGCCGATAGGATAGGCTGAAATTAGTTTCTGTGAACGAATTGAGAATTAGGGGTCAGATTGCGGGGTCAGATTGCGACTTTTCCATACCGAAATCGTCAGATTGCTCTGTGGGTCTTGTGGATCTGAAACAATGACAGGGTATGTGCTCACATGTCTTCCCTTGGTCCGGATGATTTGTCCAATTCACCAACACCGTGAGGGGCAGTATTGTTTTTTCTGAAGGGGCTTATCTCAAAGTAAGAATCTGAAAGTTGAGTATACTTAGGCAGGTCCAAGCTTTGTACCCGACAGTTCTAAAGTTGCAGGTAGTAGCTACAAGCATGGATCAACATGGGACATCGTGATGTCAGCAAAAAGAGAGGTTTGCTACATGACGGAGTACAAGGATGATGGCGAGCCAGACTGGAGCGCTCCGGGCAACCAGTCCCTCGGCATTCCTCGGCCACCTTCTATTTGCCAACTCTCAAGGGCCGACTCTCAAGCGTCAGGGTGGGCCTGAGATTCTTTGACTCGTGTTCTATTATTTGACTGTCGCCCCTAGTAGCTTCTTGTTCCTAGTAAGGCCAGGAGCCCCGTTCGTAGCGTCCGATCGCTCCGTTCGTGGAGCCCCCGAACGTCGTAGCGAACCTCTTGTTCCTCGTGTTCGATCTGGCGGAGTGCTTGGGGATGGTCGATCCATTGATCACAGGGGTTTCGACCCCCAAGAGGGAAGATGATCGGCGATCAGTCAGTCGCCACGTTTTTCGACCGAGGACTTGCGTGGATATGTTCAGCCCCTGCCCATGCCATCCAGTTCACGAGGAGCCAGTCGAACCGACAAGAACCGGAGAGTTGTCCACTCGTCCATGCACGAGGCAACTGAACATGAACCTGGTCAGTTGCCTCGTGACATTTTTTTGCAGATCGGTTGCATTTAAATTGTTCAGTTTGGGCTGAAGTTAGCCATGCCTGCTCAAAAGCTGAGATGATTGGAAGTATGAACATGTTTGCTCCTCTTTGCTCACCAGTGGGACAAGCGGGGCCCAACTCCCCATGATTTTTGTGACTGAAGCCATTTTGGCTGTAATCCTGCTGCATGTCAAATTTAATCTCTGAAAGTTCCAAAGAGAGCTTTGGAACGTGGAGCTCGTCTAGTCCAATCGACAGCTTCCTGAAGCTTCAGCACCAATTACGGCCCGGTTGGTACTTTGTTGTCTTTGTAGTGAACGCCACAGCTACAGCTCTGCTGTTTCCTGTGGATGACCCTGATTACCACCACTACCAGGACCATTCTATCTCATTGCAAAGGAGTAGATGGTGCTTTTGTTTGCTGATGCTGGCAAGCCTTGGATGTGGTTGTGCGGCAGCCTTTTTGACAAAAAGGGCTGGAGCTTCAGCTCATGTGCGGTCGGCGAGTGGCCATAGCATCAGTCTCTGGTTTGAATCCATGTTGGCCTCGATGAGCTTGGCCCCTTGTGGATTCAGGTATGGATTCATACCAGTTGGCAACCACCACTCATGGCACATGGGCTTTGCATTGTGTAGGGGTCTTCTTTATTTGATTGGCTCATTCCTGCTGGAGAGGCTCATTGCTTCTCGAATGGATCTGTTAGAGCAGGTTTCGAATCAAAACTACTGCAGTGGCTGCGTTCGCAGGCTCCTTTGGGTGCAAGCCTGGGGCGCCGGTATGATGTCAGTGTTCTGTTTTGGAATGGGCATAGTCTATGTGGTTTGTGGCCGTATGTGGGACAAATTCTTGTGTGCTGCCCTGGCAATCGCAATGTTCACTTCACTGTGCGAGGTGGTGACAAGCTTGGTGGTGGCTGGCTCCCTGGCGAGGTCCTTCCTCCACTTGCGTCGGGTTTTGTACGAGGCGGAGCTTGAAGACGTGCCAGCAGCTGCAAAGTCCTTAAGACGAGCCCTAAGGTTTGCCGCTCTACAGGCGATTGGCGTCTCTTTCAGCCTCGTGCTCACGATTGTGGTAGTTCCCTTTGTTCTAGGTGAAAATTTGGGTGTTATTGTTGACGACGATGCAGTATATGCGATCAGCTTGCTTCAGGCTCTCGATTTGCTTGGGCATGCGCTCGCCGTACTGCTCCTATCAGGCAGCCACAGGTTGCCGAAGGTACACCAGACATCTTACCAAGCCGGTCGCCAGTTGCCCTGTTGGGCATGCCCCAGTCAGAACAGAGCAGTACCAGAAAAGGAAACAGCCTGGAGCCCCACCTGGAAGGCAAAAATTGAAGAGCTCTCATTGCGGGGCATGACTTTGCGCAGCCTTTTGCATTTTTATCAGGAACACCTCCCTTCCATGCCTGACTGGACATACACACCCAAAGATCACAAGACAAGGGATGTGGTCCGCAGGGTGATCATCCCTCTCACCAGCCAGGAGGAATTGGCCTTTGCAGTCTCAGCCTTGAACAGGGATGGTGCTCAAAGGGCTCAAGTCATGGTGACCCACAACTGGGGCAACAGTTTCAAACACATGCTGGCCGCTGTTGTCTCTGATGCTTTGCAGGAATGCAGTTTCAAAATGGCCGCGCAGCTGCTGGAGGAAGACTGTGCCTTTTTGTTTGGGATCTTGGCCAGGAGCGGTCGATTGGACGACACATATTGGATTTGCGCTTTTGCGGTGAACCAACATACCAGCATTTGCCACAACAATCCTTATGACCGGGACCCCTTGACAAATGAGCTACATCCAGTGTGTGCTTGCAGTTGCGTTAATATCTCTGATGCGGATGGCCAAAGCAGTTCCTCAGAGATTAACAAGTTTGATGACATGATGTACCACCACGCAACAACAGGAATTTGCAGGCAAGTGATTGCAGTGGACAAATCTTTTGAATTGTTTCGCCGTGCTTGGTGCGTGGCGGAAATTGCAGAAGCCAAACGGTTGGACATGACTCAGTCACTGAAGCTTCTGTCCAAGGCTACTATTCAGACCTTAGAGGTCTTGGATGTTCGCAGCATGAATGCTTCATCCGAAAAGGACAAGGAGCTCATACTGGGCAAGATTCAAAACATTGACGAGTTCAATGCACAGCTGCAAGCGCTAATTTTTGACCCCACATCGGGCCTTGTTGCATCCTGGAACACCATGGACAGTTTGCAGCAGGTGGGAGAAGTTGGCCGGCTCATCCGCTGGGGCCTCGCTGATGCGGGCACCGGTAAAGTGTGGAATGCATGGGATGCCGATGAGCCTTTTTGATCAACCAATCCCAGAAGATCCATGGTTTTTTTGAATTCGGTGCATTTCGGTGCCAGCCGGAAAGTAATTAGGAGTTTGTCACACTGAGTGACACTTTTTGTGGATTTTACAGCCAGGTTGGCATATCCACATTATGTGTATGTGTTTCAACTTGGCAATCGAAATGTTAAAGATTGCCAAATTGTTGTAAGCGCTATTTGGCCAACACTTGATTATGCAGCAGAAACAGGACAGTTCAGGAGTTGTTCTTGCCGTCATGTGGTCCTTTTGAAAAATGATCTGCAAAACAAACCAGAGAGGTGTTCTTGTGTGAGACTGTATTGACTGTATGCTTGAGACTGCTTGATGCATTGCTTTTGCGTAGTTGGACAGGTTCAGGAGAAGCGTTCTGACTGCATGGTGCCTTGGAGCATGTTGAGCAAACATGTAGCGTGGAGATCACAATCAAAAGTTCAAACCATCGAGAGTATCCATGTTGATAAGCCGATAAGCCTTTACAATTTGCAAGCGAAGCACACCTGGTTTTGTGGGGGGAAACCCTTAAATATGCAAAACGACAAGCAAGTGGAGACCATCACAGTCCGACCACCCTGAAGCCTGAAGTGCGCTGAGTGTGCTGAGTGTGCTGCCTGACAAGTAAGGGAATGAGAGAACAGCAACAAAACATGCAGGACCTGCAGGACCAACAACTCTATTTAAAGGAGCGGGAACACACCAGTGTAGTTTGCCGACAGCAACATCAACATGCACGACAAATAAAACAGCAACATACAGCACTCACACCATCAATTTCACCTTGCAATTGCAGCGAGAGAGAGAGAGAGAGACAATTCTGAGAACAGACGAGAACAATTGTCCAAACATTCGTGAGAAACCTGCGCGTGGAAAATAAACAACAGAAGAGTACAACCTAGTTCGTTCACGGGGATAGGCTACCTCGATGGCGCTCAAAAATATCTTGTTTTGTTTTCAATTGCACTTGCCATGAGAAGCATGTCAAAACTCAAACCCACTCAGCATCACTCGAAGCCACTCGAGCAGCTCTGATTGGGATAACACCCCAAAGGGGAGACCCCAAAGGCACCCTGTGAAATTTAAAAGGTTTCGACTTCAACAGCCAAACAATGTGCTTTCCATGGTTGTCAAGCTGATGTCCGGTTTCTTCAACAGTATTATAGAACCACATTCACTGTCATAGATTTGTTTGTGGAGTGCCGCAGGAGCTTTGCAACAGCACATGGGGCTCGTATTGCCAACCCACCTACAACGGGCAGACGTGTCCCATTTCGTGCAAGGAGAATGAGAGACTTGGCACAGTTGGGTTTTGCCATTTTTCACAACCTCTTCCCAAGGGGTCTTACATGCTGAGAATGTAGCACCATGCATGCCCTGGAAACTAGTGGTTGCCCCTGGCCCAGTGAACAACCAAGTTCAGTCTCAAATCCATCGACCCCTCATGACCCCTCTATTCTTTAAGTCAGGCAATCATTGGGACGGACCTCCAATGAACATCGGAACAAAGGCCCGGGACCTCGGATCACCCTTTTTTTGAGGCTCCCTGTCGTCGTCCCAGTGCACCCCCACGTGGGCGCGGGTAAGTGACGATGAAAACTCTTGTTCTTGGGGGGCCCATGTCGAAGACAGCCTAGGCTTCCAGCTGTGGTGTGTTTGGATTATTTGGAAAGCGACTCACACGGAGATTCACCGCCCACTGAAAAAGGTCAACACCCGACCCTACGGCATCGCATCATTTTTTGCTGTCCTTTGTGGATTTCGTCACTGGACATCCAAAGACCCTCCCTGCTCCAGAAGTTCCAAATGGTTCCATTATCGCTGGTGGTTTTGTTGAATTGTCCCATCCAGTGCGGGACGGTTCTGGACACCCGCAGGTCCAACAGACAGGTTCCTCCAAGTGCCACTTTTCGACCTGTTCGACTTGGTCATACTTGGTCGACTCTTCGGATTGCCGCTGGAGACCGCTGTTGAGACAACTCTTCAAGTTTTCAGGAAGAAACGACACCAAACAAATTGATTCCTTTGGTCTCCCAGGATCTATTGCTACATCGTGCCCTATGACGACAACGGCGAGATCGATTGGACTGCCACATGGGAGGACCGAAATGTTTGGTTCGAAATCCGTCGCCTGCGGTGTTTTTTCAGACCTGGGCCATGTCTTTCGATGCCGGCTACCTGGGGCTGTAGAGGGGGCGGGATGCTTTTAGATTGATTTCATGATGTGTGTTTAAAAAACACATTTTTTGATGTTTTTGATTCAGATTGATCCTTTTTGAGATTGTTTCCTGGGGTGCCGGGTCCCACGTGACCCCACGTGTCATGTTTATTTCGGGTTGAGAATTCTCACCTCGAAAACGCGGGCGTTTCACGCGGTCCAACAGATCCTGAGAATCGGCCCACTGAAGACGTGCGACAACCCGTTGGGGGACAACCCCCTTATAAAGAGACCAAAACCAACACCATCTATATAATTAGACAGCTAGTTGTTGTTTTTTGTAGCGTAGCTTTTAGAGGTTGAGCAGTATGAGCAACTGAGTTTTCAGAGTTTTCTGGGACTCATCTTTCAACCAAACCATGACAAGCGATAGATGAGACACCAGTGACATCCTGGCTGGTCCGATCCAGTCCGCCTGGGCCAGGAAGCCTGTGCGGACGAAAGCGAGGGCTGCCCTTGCAACGAGAAGTGGGAGAAGTCTTGTGGCGAAGGCGCCGGGCTGCGAAGCGTGTACCGGAGCGTGTGAGGTTGCGAGTCAGTGAAGAGTCAATGAAGAGATGCGAAGGAAGAGATGAGGGTGGAGAGCTTGAACCAACTCGAGTTGTACTGAATAAGGTTCCTGACTGCAGTGTTTCTGGGTGGGCAAGTTGGTCCAAGTCCAATGGTGTGTCCAGCCGCGAGGTCGCCCTTTGAGGTTGAGGTTTCTGCATGGTGAATGGAAGGTAGAAAGGACCGGTAGCCAGTGCACCCTGCACAGGGTGATGCTGTCCAGCTTTGAATCTATAAAGTCCAAACGTATTTTGCTGAAGAATAAAACATGCTCGGTGTTCAGACCGCAGTCGACTCTGATCTCTAGCTGGACCGGGCAATCAACTATCGTGTATAACGGGCCGTTGAAGAGTGGACCCAGAACCAACAGTTTGGAACAAGGCCCTTTGCTGCTAGGTCCAGTAACAAGGCCCTTATAGGGCCTGTTACTAGGTAACCAAGCAACAGTAAAGGTCAAAACCGGTTCCCGTGACCAGGCCCTTTGGTGCTAAATGCCCGCTAGACGTGACTGGACCGTCTGCAAAGAAGCACGGTCATCAAGCAAAGTTGGTGGCATAGATCCCAAACCCAGACAATTCGAACCGATACGGCAGATTGCGGCCCAACCATTCAACTGGGACACGTCCACCTGTAATGCATCCATTTCTTCTGCAAAGGACCACATGGATCTTGAAAACCATGAGTACGGTAGATGAGAAGAGTCCTACAGGGGTGCATTTTCACGCTCCATGTTAGTCTGGAGGGAGGACAAACGCCTGACTGGGGGTCGCTACCCATAACACAGAAGTCTCCGAGGCTGGTGCATCCCGATCGACGAAAGCTGTCCCATCGATTGCGGTGAGTTTGCCACCTGTGCTTGGGCACAACATCGGCAGAGGGATGGAACAGGGATCAGTGGTTTCCTGCCATCGCATATTCCCAGACAACTCCGACTGGATGTTTTTTGCGACGAAAAAAACACCCCGATTGTAGGTGATATTCCACACATGAAGCGATATCGAAGTCATGGAAGCAGGATGAAAAAGTGGACATGGGACAGCATGAAACCCACACAAGAAACCGAACGTTGAGCAATCCTTTTGAAGACCATGTGAGGCTTGCAGGGGGAATACTTTGGAGTACACCTGATGTGGTCATCCCTGGATCTTCAAACGAGACACCTTTTGCGGGAGGCATGTTTCAGATGCCGTGAAAAGTCGAACAGGATGCCGATGTTTGCGGGGTTGGAACATGAGTTGCAACACATGTCACTCCAAATCCATGGGACAGCCGGGCGGATCCAACCGCCGGCGTTGGGACGCCTCTCTTTACGCTTACTCTGTGTGAGGACTTTCTTGGGGGTTCTCACCTCGCCGTGTAGACTGGTTTTTTGCGCCTTGTCACCGCCAACAAAGCACGTCTTGTCAGGAAAAAGACACCAGAAAGTAACTAGCGCACATAGTGATTCCTGAAAGGACACCAATGGTAACGTGCCACTTCGAAGATGGCATGTGCCGCACATAGTCAGATGAAGCATATTTGAGACCATGATTTGTGTTAGTAGTAATGCACTTGTTGCTAAAGGCGATGCACTTGTTACTAGCTTCTTAAGTTACTAGTAGTAAGGCACCTGGTTACTGTGTGATCAGTCGGGACCGAGGAACAAGGCGCGCAAGCAATCAGGACCTCGGAACGGGGTGTCTGTTGGTACATGCATTTAAGGTTCCCGAAGCCGATCTGCAAGCATATTTGCATTTGCCATTTGCAATCCATCAACGATCCCTGTGACGCAGTTCTTCTTCCTCTTCTTCTTCCCCCCAAAACAGGTCGCGCTGGTCTTTTCACGGTGCCCCCTCCGCAGCGCCCTCGACCGGTCAGGCTGGCACGAGTCCGGCAACCAAAGCTGCGCCACGGAAAGCGGCTGCAGCTGTGAAGCCAATGAGCACAGCTGCCTGGACTGCCGCGGGGTTTGCGGGTGTACGTACCTTTTTCGCGGTCACCGGGGTGCGAAGCTTTGATTTGGTTGGTGGATTTCGCGGTGTTTCACCGCCAACAGGACACGGAATGTGGCTCTCGGATTGACATGAGAGTTGAGACTTTTGTCAGAGGATATGATAGGAGGATATAGGAGGCACTTTGAGCCGTAAACGCTGCCCGGCATATTTGAGCATCAACGGCAATGAAATTCTCTGCAGCTCCGCCTATGGTTTTTTGGGCACCTGTTGGCACCTAGGATTCAGGAAGCACCTAGTGGAGGATCTAGGAACCTTGGTTTTGGTTGCAGGTTGCAGATGATCCAACCACATGGCCCCACTCAACTCCTCGACCGACTATTTGCCGCGAGGTCACGATCGTATTCCGTAGGTAGGTTGTGGCCGGAACTAAGCGTCGATCTTCGCAGGATGGCTGGGGGCAATATCAGTGCTACCCAATGACTTGGTATCCAGATGGCTGCAGCTGGGCAGGATGAACCATTCTTTTTTTGGGAGGACAAGCAGCAACCACAAGGGAGGAGAGGGGCCAGTGGAACTTAGCTCGTTCGTTCACGTACAGAAGCCTTGGAACTAGAAGGACTCCAAAGGACAAACACAATTCTTTCAGTCGAACAAAATGCCCCTGCCTGTGGGAGACAAGACCAGTATGGCGAACGAGCCATTAGAGTAGTAAACTTGCTTCCGTCGTGGCCGGTTTTTCACGACGTGCTTTACTCCCTGAGTCCGTTGGATCAACACGGCCGGCATGAGGTCGAGCCTTCCAATCTTCTTCCCCCAGCCGACTGACCGTGGACAACACAGGGCTATTTGTGATTGCCTCAATTGGTTTCCTAAAAGACCGCAAGCACAAAAAGCAGTTGAATTACTGAAGAGCCTGAGGAAAACAGTGTTTGTATGGTCTCAGGGCGCTTGCAGCTTGCTACTGCATGCGTGGGTCAGCCGGATGCTGGGACTTGGGTTCCGAGTCACATGTGATGTTGGGTTTTCTTTGAGCCATCCAGAGTGCTCTATTGTCATGGTGCCGAGGCCCTTTGGTGTGCGACTATGAGACGCACATCTATTGTCATGAAGTAGGACGAAACGATGGGGATTGTTGTTACATGTTGTTACTTGTGTTGTTAACGGTTCACACCCGAGCTCATCCCCTTGACTGTAGGGGTAGTGGCGCACCCGGGGCTTGAACCCGGGTCCGACGCATGCCATTAGACCACAATTACCGGCCCTCCGAAGCGATGGTATTAATGGCTCTGCTTATGGAGCACAGCAGTTATCCGTCGTCCCATGTCCATGGTCTCAAAGCTGGGGGTCTTTGGGTCTTTAGCAGACCCTAACAACTGGGAACTCCTTTACAAAGCAGGTGGGGTCGATTTTGGTTCAGCACAGAAGACTGGAGGCACTGGAGCAGTCGCGCGTTCCCTCCCATGCAGACCCCCTTAATTACATACGCTGGTCCCCTGCATCGGGGGCCGTGGGATTACCTTCCTGGCGCCCTTGGTGATTTGATCATTTGAGCCTCTGAATCGCACCTGAATGATCTCTTCACTCTTCACCTCGCAGAATTGGACATTGAATACATGAAATGGAGAAGCCACGAAGAATGAATAGGATGCCAAGATTGGCTGGCTCGAATCCCACCAAGATTCGGATAGTGGTATGATGAGGTATGTGTGCTTAAGATGCATTCTCAGAAACAGTGCGTAGAAGTCCTGCAATATTGCCGTATAGTGGAGGTTCCATAACAAATCTTCATTTTCCGCCAAAAGGATCCAAAAAGAAGACGATCAGAAGGCATGAGCAACACGTGCAAACACGAGCAAAGCATCGATCTCAAAAATGCCTTAGTTTTTTTACACAATTTTACAAACCAAAACCAAACAGTCTCAACATGTCTCAACTCGAGAGACGGTTCGATCCCAATACCTCCAGTCTTTTGTGACGACTTCGGATCACTTCAGGCGGTCCCAAAACCGGACCGCGGGTCAGAGGTCACCGGGGTTCTGGAGGGTCGGGGCGGAGCGCGGAGCCGAAGGACCAACCCAAGCTGCCGGTTTTGGTTGGTGAAAGACCTGGAAGGAATCAGACTCCTCTCGCATGTCCAAAAGATCAGTTGAGAGAAGAAGAAGGCGTCATATTTCAATATATTTGTATAAGCTTATAATATATGTAAGGAACGATTCCGAATTCAGGCCCATCGCGGCTGGCCGCGGACCTGAGTTCATCACTTCTTCACGGCTCTGGGTCGGTTCGCTTCGCACGGTTCCGTCGCGCGCTGAAGCGGCGCGCTTCACGACACCGAGCGGAGCGTCGTTCGGTGCCTCGGCAGCTTTCCGCGGGCGAGGATTCGATGAGAATGGCTTTATGACGTGGGAGGAGTTTTGCCACGAACGGAGCAGTGCCACGGTAGGGTGCGGAAACCACGGCAGTTGGGGTGCGGAAATGGATGAAGTCGGGGTGGCCCCGCCCACATCCACGAAAACTGGGATGGAACCTGAAAAACTCCTGGTTCGAATGAATTTTTGTTTGCCTCACAATGAGACACCTTCATGACTCAATCCAGATGCCCGTGGTTCTTCGGTTTTTGCAGCGGTTCGAGGTGGCCACCTGGACTGGTGATGAGGTGAAGATGGCGTGGCATAAAGGGATGGATGGTTACGAACCGAAGAGCGGTGAGAAGAGAATCGAAGAGCTCTAAACAACGATGCTTTTCTTACATCTTTTCTTTGCCCAATGGTGATTTTTGTTCATGTGCGTATGTCGTCAGACATGCTGTTTTTTCATGTCTTTTTAAGATGCACTCCGACTCACTAATCCTTTCCACCTATTCAAAAAAGCACGAGCGCCCCCAAAGAAAACAAAAAGGCGGTGTCTTTCTTGTTCTTTTGCAAGGTTTTTGACATGGGGGGACCCCACAAAGATGGGAACGGGGAAGAGTTTCAACACCGAAAACTCGCCCAGGATTGGCCTTTATTATATAATCTACAAAACATCAAACAACATGACAAACCTGCAGATCGAAGGGTCTTTCTTTTCTCCTTGATTCTTCGATACTGGGATGCATTCATCACATTGAAATATCGACATTGAAATACATTGAACACATAAGCAAAATCAGGGCCTCATGAGGTGACCATAGGAAAACCATGTGTAGGGTGGGTGGGTGGGTGGGTGGGCGGGAGCAGCGCAGCCAAAGCAATCAAGGATGTTCTTTTTGTGGGCGGGTACCACATTCAATAAGCTCTCCCCACAATGATGTTGGGTGCAATTTAGTAGGAAAGTAAGGGGTGCAATTATTAAACGCGGGTCCGACATGTTTTTTCTTAATTGCAGGTCGTCTTTTTGATATAGGTACTCGGGATTAACCCTGTTCGTCAAGGAAAAGAATCATCCAAGGGTATCCAAGGGTCCTTTTTCGGATTCCGTGTGAGTTGAGTCGGGGGGTATATACCCTTCTCAGATTTCTGCCTTTTCCACACTCGCGACCGAGGTGCGGATGACTGGGAGTGCCCGGTGAAATGCAAGGATTCCGCGCAAAAATGCGGCACTGAGGCGCCTTGGTCTGGTTCCGCCTGTTAGGTCCAGGGGGTTGCCAAAAGTGCCTGCATTGCGCGGATGGGTGAGTTTCCCTTCGCTTTCCACCTGATAAACCTTGGTATTGGGTCTTTCCTGCGAAGCCAACGTGAAACATTTCGGATGACCAACGGTTGCTCCCGGACCAGCCAGACCCTGTCACAATGGCCCTGGCCGTTTGTTGGTCGAGACAGGTATACACAACACATGGGCCACATGCAACCGAAAGAGAATCGATTTCAAAGGGTGGGCCTGGACTGGCCAGTTTTAACCCTTACATATCCAAAGATGTGCCTGAACAGAATTTGTTGCACCCATGTATATATAAACTATATTATATATAACATTTGCGCTTGGTGTACCAAGACCAATTATACACTTGTTGAGTCTTTGGTTGTATATATGATATTGGCCCCAGCAACATCCAGCATGACCCATCAATGAAACGATATCAACCCCAAACGGCACGGCCGCAACGCGCCACACGTGGTTCTTGGCTCGTGGTTCTTGGGTCAGCAACTGTCGCCCCTGTCAACTCGGCCGAGGATTGGAACTCCTACTGTGTCGCACTCACCGTTTCTTGGAGGCCAACGATAAGAAAAGGGCACCCCACTGGGGCACCCCATTCCTATGGGTAGGAGTTCAATGGATGGATGCCAAACCCGTTTTGGGGCATTGGGGTGCCTTCAAAAACGAAGAAGTGGACAGTTTTTAATACTTTTTTGCGGGGGGGCGATATTGATATTTATCCCTGGGAAACAACTTCGCGGGGGCGGGTTTCAAGTTCTGATGTTTGTTTCAACCTATAGGGGTTGAATCGAAGAAACTAAAACCTAGTTTCAAAACCCCTGCCCGGGTCGTGTTACCATGTTTTTCAGTCGCTAACCATCGATTCTCAAGCCTTTGCTTCGACGACAAGCCCATTGAAGACAAACCTTAGGACCTCAGGATAGAGAGTCGTTCATGCCATGGTTCATGTTCAACACGAACATCCCACCGGCTCCCACCTGCAGCGTCCGTGTCTCCCGTTCGTGGTCTCCCGTGTCGTGCCGGTGAGCGCCCCAGGACTCGTGTCCGGAAGTGTGCACGGAGGATCAACAGCTTTGCTGGGTCACGGACTACGACTCCACAGGCGGAATGTACGTGAGGCTGAAAGCTTCAAAGTCCAGGGATTTGGGGGGGTCTCATGTCTAATGGAACAGTGTGACATTTGCAAAAACATCGAGTTTGCCGTTAACGGCTATATATAGTGCTCTTTCTGATTGGGTCGGTCCATCAACGCCATCTAATCTATCTAACGCGCAATGCGCAAATATCTACTATATAACTATATAATATATATATATATACATATGATTTTGCTTAACCTTCACCTTCGAGAGTCCTATATTTTTAGATTTTTTAGATATTCTTAGGTAAACATGTTTAAGTACTAAAGGACCACATCCTGAGGTGAGTTCCACATTCTTATATTTTTTAAGTTGGATGTAAGATGTGTGGAACTCACTGAGTTGCTCAAACTGCAAGGCGCATGGCTTGGAGGTGCCGACAAATGTGCCCCAGCGATGCCTGGATCGATGGGGGGCAGACGGCACCGTCTATACGTCTATACGGGAGTACACCATACTGTCTCGGTACATCTATACCCTGCAAGGCCAGGTGTCAAGTTAAACGAGGTCACGTGCCAACGACCCAGTTTTACGAGTACATCGGAAAACGCCCTTTTCTTGCAGCACCGGTTTTGTGCACAACCAATTTGTCAACGACAGCTCCAACTGAGCACTTATTCCCTGACCTTTTGCCAAGGAAATGCCACTAAAGCTGATGGTCACCCATGCATATTCAATTGGGGATCCCGATTTAAAAGCACTATCGTTAACGCAAATTGGGAGACAACCCCCATCGACATAGGACCCAATATTGCCGATTTGATGGGGACTAATTCCGGTTCACGCTCGGTTCACGCTCGGTTCACGGTTTTGGAAGGTCATCGGCAGTTTTGGAAGGTCATTGGAGGGTCGGTTCATGCTCGGTTCACGCTCGGCTCACGGTAGCTAATTTGCTTAATATAGCAACAAAATGCAAAAAATGGAATCCACAATGCTAGGCTACAAGTGGGTGCACAAAGGGAATTTGTGGATTGTATCTGCAACTTTTATGGCATTATTCCAGGAATTCGCAAATAGGAACCAGCGTGCTCGAACGAAATCGATCGCAAAACCATACCTGGTGTCAAGAAACCTTGATGATCCTTCAAGTAATTGGGGGTCATCGGAAAGTAATAGGTGATCACGAGTTTCCAATTCCAATGAACCAGTTTTACGAGGCCATCGACTTGAAGGGATACTGTCTCTACTGGATCAACATACTATATCCATGTACTATAGATGTATGATGTATACGTGGTCTTTTGGTGCAGCCACAACACCGTGTTTGAAGGAGACCCCCATGACAGATACTGCTGGTCCGTATAGTCCGTAACCGTAGTCCCTTTCTTTTGGAAGAATGAGCAATGCATCTCGATAGAGAACCTTGTACCTTGCTTAACAACTTTGTACCAAATCGTTTTTTTTTTTTTTTTTAAAGCCCCAACCTGCCAAGACCAAGTCCCTTAAGGACTGGAGCTGAACATATGGTCCTTTAGACACACACATTCGCGACATAGACCTGTAGGCACTGTAGGCGTTGGTCTATTTGTCCTTCAGCGAATGTTACGAAAGCCAGCCTTCGTAGAAGGCGCCAGCTGAGTTGAGTTTGGCGAACGAAGTGAGTAAGTAGGGGGTCTGCAAGAAATGCAACTTGCATCAGCCAGAGGGTAGCTACAATTCAGTTTCCAGGTATAGTACTTCAAGTTCCCTTTCCATCAACCGCTCGATAAACTTTACACACGCACAGCAATCCACAGCTTTGAACTCTCATTCGTGCTTTGAACTTTTATGGGTGTGTAAGAGGTATAGCAACATAGCATTTATACGGACCCAGGGTAGCTACAATTCTGTTGCCTATCGCACTTCAATTTTCCCACCCCAAAAACGCTGGCTTTCGTTTTGCAGCCTCCCAGGTTGAGCTATTCCCACAAGTCGAGAATGGATAGTTTATACATTTTTGCCCAACTTGACACAGAGGCTCGGTAGACCTTGCTTGCAATCCCACCATCTCCACCCACACTCTTTAGATGGTTTTGTTCCACGTTCGGATGTTGGGACCGTCAGATGGCCTCAATGCTTCAATGTTGACATCAATCAATATGCAACATGCTGTAATACAAAATCAATACAACATTGGTTGCGTACTGAAGGCAGACATTTTGGAACTGAAAACGTGTTCATTTGTTTGGAGTCCTTATGCATTACCCTCGACTTTCTCGTCCTTTTCTCGTGGGCCCCAGGAACCAAGAATGCCCATGTGGTCAGAACAGCATCAAGTGCTCCTTGGATGGTCAATGGTCAGTGATGAAAAACAAAAATAACTATATTAATATATATATATATCTTTGTGGTTTTGACATGTCAAGAGGTCCGATGTAAAAACTCTTTAAGATTCTCATATAGAGAAACATGCCATAGATTGAACACTCCCCTTCTCCCTGGTGTTGGTTGAAAAACATTTCTCAATTGGAGGACACCCCACACCACTTGGAAATCGCCTTGTCGTGCGAAGTCTGTTTCCGGCGGTGTGAACCGTGGAGGGTTGAAGTCCGTGGGCCAGTAAGGAAGGTGGATGCTGTTTTTGAGGGAGGAAGGTGATGTGTTCTGTTCCACGGGTTCAAGGTCACGAAGACACTGCCACTAGCAGGATAGTTACAAGTAGAGCCTGGCTGCCTATGGCAGGGAGCATGAGTGCTATTCATCCCTGGTTTTGCGCCAGTGCCAAATGCCTGAGGTTCGTTCGAAGGCTATTCTTACTGCGAGTCGACCTACTACGGCTGCCCTGTGACCTGCCAAGAGGGCCAGAAGAACTGCTACATCGAATCCTACACGCCGGAAGGTGCAGCGAATCCTACACGCGAGGCGTCGCACATGGCACGAAACCAGCCAGAGTTAGAAGCTTCTTCAGGTTGATTTCTGCCCTTGAAATCCATTAGGCACGGTCTGACCCTACTTGAGAGGTTCCAACTTTGGGCCTGAGCATGCTGGAAATGTCGGGGGGAGGCATAACAATAACTAGCTGCGCACTAGCTACCTTTGAGTCGCAGACTGGATGCTTTCTTCCAAAGAACCCCGTGCCCCCTGAAATCAGGTGACTATGACGCTTGGTGATGATTGGATTGGGCTTCCTGTCTCTGAAGGGTCGCCCCAGAACGCCCAGGTGCGGAGTCCGTGTTCTGAACATATTTGTTTAAGTAACTATACTGCAAGTGTTAGAGCCTGTGCTAGCCCGTCCTCCACAGGAAGTAGAATGGAAGACATTTGGATGGTGGTCGTTGGCCAGATTGATGTCGACAATGTCGACATGCCAAGGGTTTAAGTGATGTTGTGGAGTACAGGTGAATGGAGCAGGATCTCATCCCAATTGGACTCTCTACAGGTTGCACCCATCCCATCCAATCCCCCAACACACCGGAACTGCGTGCGGAGCGTCGGATTTCTTTGGCCGAATGGCCTGGAATCGCATGCGGCCTCTGAGGACTGGACGGTCCCTGCGAACGAGACCTGTGTGGCTGAGAAGCATAGCTGTCCTTGCGGAGCGAATGCCACACTGCAGCAGGAGAGCAGAGTGTCGGGACGTGGAAAACGGACTCCGAGCTGGAAAACGGAGGACTAGGACCGGCCAAAAAGCCATCGTTTGGCCCAACTCACTTAGAGATGGTGGAACTTGCCACATGAAGCGTCCTCTGGCAGAACACACGTGCTTTGCCTTGGACACGGATCGCTTTGTTTGGCATGGACACGCGCGTCCGCACGGCGGATTGGATCGATAGAGATGAGGTTGGGGACTCGGAAGGATCCCGTTTCTTGGGTAGTGAGTCAGGTAACACAGAAGAGGGAGTTCTCATCTTCAATCGCAATCCCGCAAGTGGGTTGCCATGTCAGAAACTTAGAGGACACAAAGTTTGCAAAGGCCAATTCCGGAAGCTTCAGAAGCGGCACTGTAGAGTTGAGAGAATCGAGCATTTCCATCCTGGTGCGCAGTGGAGAGTTTTTGAGACATCAGGTTGTGAAGAGCAAAAGTCTAACAATCACTTAGACTCACCATCAGTGAGTTTCAATCACCATCAGTTAAACAATCTAATGTCTCAATCACCATCAGTTTTACCATTTGAGCCCTAGATGTAGCGCCCCCTGGAATCATCGTTACGTGGATGGCATGGCCCCGATTTCACCATGAAAGATATGAAAGCCTCTTAGCAAACAGGTGGATTTGAACTGTACATGATGATTCCAGCTGAGAGTAACTACAGCTGAAGTGTAAAGATGTGATTCTAGAAAGAACAAAACACAAGTGGTGTTCTTGGAGTAAAGGTGCCAAAATGGCACCTACTCCAGGTCATCTCAGGTCTCTTTCTTGCTATACTTGTCTCGCTTCGAGCCTGCCTCGAAGCTTCGGACGGAACATCCAAGACTCCCATCGTGTTCTGCCGATCCACCAAGGCCAAGGCCTGCAAATGGACGGACCTCTTTGGTGTCGAGGAGGCCAGTCTGGCCTTCTTTCGCCCGCGAGAAGTGGATGAAGTCGGTCCCAGGTGAACATGGGAGGAACGTTGGGAACACTGAAAAACAACTCGGCAGACTAAGGTGACTAAGGTATTCATGGGCAATCCGTTTTTTGTTTCGGATGGACCAGGTAGGTGCGAAAGCGAGGGGGTTATTGGGGGTGTTCTGCCTTTCTTCTTCAAGCTATAAGTGAAGCACAAGGTTATTGGCACAAGTTTACTCGATCTTGAGAAGACAGCATTATTTTGACTGCCTTCAGGGCTGTTTGCTTGGCAACAAAAAACAGATGAAAGGCAGTCTTCTCGCCGTGCTGGCTGAGACGTATGCCCAGTTTCACTTTTGGGGCAGGAATACTTTCAGCCTGAAGCTTGGCCTTGCCCCATCTCTTGTGGCGCGGACCAGAAGAAATGCCACTCGGCGATCTCGTGTGGGTTCTGCCCGGAGAAGCGCAGAAAACGCCAACCCACGCCTGGCGCGATCTCGTGAGCAGGGTGAATTTACAGAAATAGGCTGTGCACGCAAGCTGATGCTTCCATAAGATGACTGTCCAAGATGTTTCTATCATGCCATGTAATCAAAGGAGCTTCACATGAAATGCACAGCGATGTACTGTTCTGTTTCCTGGGCGTGCTTGGATTCTCGCATTGTTCGGCAAGGCTATAAGACCGACTACAACGCCTCTGGCTACCCCCAGAATTACTATGAAGACTGCGTTGCAAAGGCTTCTACACTGATTCCGTAAATGGGTGATTGGGCGGAGGAGTGTTTTGTGGGGGTGGGGACTTCTCCGGATGCTTCTTCAAGTGTTTTCCTGAACTCAGAATATAAAATACACATTGCATATAGCCTTACAAAGCCTTTGAATCTCGACTACCTGCAAGAGATCACAGAATCATCAGTTCATGGCCTGCCGTAAGTCAGTCTGTGTTTGTAAGTCAGCGAGTGAAGTTTGTGCCAGGCTTTGTGACGACGATTCAGCTCCATAAACCCTCCCACACTGCCCTGACTTCTACTCCTTCGACTTCGGCCTGCCAGGATGCGAAGTGCACCTGCGGTCGACATTCGCAAGAGTGCCATGACCCTTGGTGGGACGAGTGTCTTAGCCGCAACGACCGAAGTCCCGGAGGTCAACGCTTCTTGTTCCTAGTAGCGTATAGTAGCTTGTTAGTAGTAAGGCCAGGAGCTACTAGTAGCGTCCTTGCTCCTAGTAGGCCCCTAGTAGCTTCTTGTTCCTAGTAGTGATGCCCTTTGCTCCCAGTATATAGCACCCTTGCTCCTAGTAGTAGGGCCAGGAGCCCTCAGTAGCGTCCTTGCCCCTAGTAGTATCCCAAGCAGCTTTTCCAACTCTTTGGGAGTCAGCTGAGTCGCTGAGTCTCAATTCTCGGTTTGGACAAGCTGTGAGATCCATCACTGATGCTAATAGGCCAACAATGGTCCATGGTAAATTCGTTTCTTCACAGCTCCTTCACCCGGATGAGGTACTATTGCATGCCAACCTGGGACTTCTGGCTGCTTGTATGCATGGTCAAAGGCCCCCCAAATCTGTGGAGGTCTTTTCACAGTCAGTGGTTGACACCTCAATAGGTTGGATGAACATAGGGTATTTTGATGATGGTTTTGCATTGCATGTTCTTGCCACTTTCTACCGGTCAGCCCTGGTTCTTTTGACCATGTATAGTTGTAGTGAGGAAGACAATCGCTCATGTTTTGACCATGGTATGCCTTGAATGAATGATTTCACGTTTGAGTCTTCAGTTGCTGTCCAATCAGTTGAAGTTCGCCTTTTAAGCTCATTTGATGCTCATTGTTCCCGCCAACGTCAAAATCTAGTAACTACTGTGCTGATACCTTGCGGGGATTTGTTTGGAAATGTTTTGAATACCTCAGAATATCGTAGGCCGCTGTGGTGTTGGTTTTGCTTCAACTAGCGAGCCTAAACCTGTCGCCGTGCCAACACTCAAGGACGAATATGAAGATGAGTTGCCCTGTATATTGCAAGGAGGATCAGGACTGTTAGTCATTCTTGGTTGTAATTTGTTGTGAGGATCGCTGTTTTTGACCGAACACAAAACAGCACATATACGATACTAATCAAAAATCAAATGGAGGCGAAACAGCAAAGTTGCTTAGTCACAGTCTCTTGTCATGTTTCTGATGTATGCTGTATTCTTCAATGATCTTCAGAGTCAAAGTCCTTGTATTAACTGTTTTGGAATCAGTCGTGCTTTGACCACACAATTCCCTCGTACACTTGGGGGTTTTCAACCAAAACGTTCACGTTTATACCAGTCCCCGACACTCCAGACTGGAATAGTTACATACATTGACCATCATTGACCCCATGACCCAGCCATGGTAACTATTCCAGTCCCATGCATGGTTTGGGAGTGGAGTTTTCTCTTCGGATTTGATCGTGAGTGTTTGGGGGTCTTTGGCTTTCAACGTCCCTGTCGCTCATGCTGGTATATTTTTATGATCCGCTCAAAACTGGCACGCCACACGACTATCACGAAATCACTGGCGATGTTTGGTACAGTTTGCAAAGTTGGTGTAATGATTTTGTGTTTGAGGATTTTCCCATGTTAACTGTCACCTGTTTGGGACCAATCCGGAGCCTCCTTTTTTTGTGGAACACGCCTTGAGGAAGTTTGATGTCTTAGATTCTTAGATTGTGGTGCGCTGGTTTACCATGGTTTTACCACAGTTTCCTTTGTGGGGTGAAATCACCGGGCTTTGAGCAGCCTTTTTTTTCAGGTATGCAAAGATGATTTTGGTTGGGAGGAAACACAGCATGCTGGCAGATGTGTTGTTTTGTTTGTTTTGGGGTTAGGTCGTCGGGACCTTGGTCGGTGGCGTAGCTCTGCGTCGGGAACAGCGGACTTGTTCCGTTGCCACCGTGACTTCAGCGGCGGTCCCTTTGAACAGGCATGATTGTTTTCCGAGTGCATCTCAATCGGAAAAGACGTGGTCAAAACCCTGCATGACTCGTGGTCGGACCCGAACTCGCTTACTTCACCAGCTGGTCCTTGATTGGCAGGATTATTGTTACATCCCATCCTTCGATGCCAAGGGTGACTGGGTGCGAACGCAGGCGACTGGGAGTCGAAGGGCGGTTGGGGCGGTTGTGGCGGTTGTGGAAGCAATGCAACGGAGCAAGGAGGATGGCCTCGCCGACCCACAAACACGGTCAGGGATCGGGTCATCAAACAAGAGATTCCTCGTCTTTCTCTGTGTATTTGTAGTATAGTGCTATATAGTGCTTGTTCAAAGAACTGGAATCCAGCTGGATACAAAAGCATCCCCAATCAGCATGGCATAAGCAAATGGCATAGCAAGGCCAAGTGTCAAAGCGACGAGCAAATGGAAAGCATTTTTATGTCAAACTCCTTTGCACAGAGACTTTTCCACAATTTCTCGTGTTGTCCAAAAAGATTTCTCTCCAGAGTGTTCCTCAATCTTGCCAGCATACTGAAGGGTAATCCCTAGATAGTATCAATTCCTACATTGAAGATAGTGATTGTACAGCTGATTTCTTAGCTTCCATTAAATTAGGCTACATTAGGCTCATTTAAACATGAAATCGCTGTTCAGTGTCAAGCTGCCATCTTGGCTGGCCCGCACGGCCAAGTGAACGTAAGAAACCATGCATGTGTAATGTAATATGAATAATATACCAGTATACATACATTCCAGTATTTGCAATATGAACCTTGAAGGAGGTTGCTATGCCCTCGTTGCAAACCTTGATGCAAGTCTCCACAGTTTTGGCCCCTCAGTTTTCTGCACCACTTTGGGGGAATCAGGTTTTATGGTGTTTTCTGAAAGAAGGTCAAGTGTCTTTCGGAACACGGCCTAAAAGGGTCAGATGTCATCCAAAGAACGGACCATGCCTCGCCCGCTTTCTTCACCAGGAAGAGTGTGTGCCTCGCGGGCAAGCGTGCGACTGCAAGAAGGGGCAGAATGCTTTTGCATGCACCTACACCGATCCGCTCCTAGAATTCGATACTGTTGACAGGCTATTAGCTTTCATTTTACTCACCACCTGGGCACAGCCCGATTTCCCACCAACCGAAATTCGGTTTTACACCCACTACTGTAGATAGCAGCATCGAAGTCCTTCTTTTTTGAGGCAACAGATAAACCACGGGGACGACCCCAGTGGTGAAAGGGTCATAACCACCACGCTTCTCATTATGTTCCAAGTAGCTCGGTTTTTGGAAGCGAGATACATTCTTGAAGCATCCAAGAGGGCATCAACCAGCACGATGTAAGTGGGCTTCGGATGCCGCCAAGGCTCTTGTGCTGGTACTCTCTGAGACTTCTTTGATTTGCAGTTTGTTTCCCCACAATGTGTATCTCTTTTTATCTCATATTCTTCAGCTTAGGCCATGGAAAAGTTCACTGAGTGCACTAAGTACCGGTCCAGAAGAGCGGAAACCTTGATCAGGGCCAGGGATCATGAGGCTATGTCCTTGCGGTGGTCATTGCCTCCTGCACAAGACAACAGGCCGTTCTGTGAGAAATTCATGTCGGCCGTTCCCACTGGTTAGGGCTGGTTACTCTCGGCGAGGTGGGCGAGGTTCACGTGGGACCCAACAAATAGTTCTGCTTTAGACGACGTCGTCAGCCAGATATCTCAATAGTTGCATCTCACATATCTTTCAGCTGAACCTGAAGAACTGCCAAGTCTCCAGCTGGGCAAGCATCCCAGTCATCCTTCCCAGGTTTTGGGGCTCCTGGACCGAGTGTTTACCAACATTTGGTGGCTACTGCCCTTCAAGCTGCCCTTCTGCACCTTGGAAAGAGAAGAAGAGAAGAAACCATGGATCACTGCGTGGTGCCAGAAAAAATACTGCAAGCAAGTTGGGAAAGAACAGAAGCTGAGAATGCATGATTAGGAGTCGAAGCTTCATTGGTGACAAACCCTTTGCTTCATTCGTTTTAGAGTACACTGTGTACCCATTTAAAACTTGGCCAGGCCTTGCAACCGTTGAGACTAAGCCAGTAACAGTCGTTTAAATAGTTATACTATTTTTGAGAAAGGCCTTTACCAACCATCACCATCCACTGGGCCCTGATAATGGGATATGATATCCCAGCTTCCCCAAAATCGCAGGACTTTGAACGCCTTGTTGCTTTCTTGCTGATAAGTGGCTCTTTGGACCTAGGCAGTGTTTCCAGGATTTACACATCAAACCGTTTGAACCCAAAGAGTATGTTCAAAGAGGTTTTCCATCTTTATGTAGGTCCCCAACTAGGACATCCAACCAGAACTGGCCTTCTCTGTTACTTCCACCCACACAGAAGTAACAAGAGTACGTGCCCCCCAGACATTCTCAGCTTCTCAATTGCATGTAACCCCATTCTTCCTCCCCACTCCAACAACCCCATCTCCACTCACCATGCCCACTGCGAAGCTGGCGACGCTTTGGGCCTCGCGTCGGCGAACGCGCCCGCGGCCATGACTGGCGCGTTGCTCCGCGGTGCGTTAGGATGAAGTGGCCTGCGAGATGGTCGAAGACTACCTGCCCAATGGAACTTCCTTGGGTCTGGTCCAACCACCGAAGAAGTGCGCCAAGGACCAGAGCAAGTGCGAATGCCCCTTGGGTTGGTGATGGTTGGTGATGGTTGATTTAAACATCTGATAAACTCCTGTGGAGCTCCTGTGGAGCTCCAGGTTTCCAGGCGTTCTTGAGTCTTTACCAAAGATGGTCTTCAAAACTGCAAAAGACAACTGACTAAGAAGACTGAGTGTTCAAAGTGTGATATTGGAGGAGACAGGAGTCGGGGGGGCGACGTTGGTCTGTTGAGAGATAGCCAATACCGATGATCTATGGGCCATGAGGGTCGTTTCATGAGCAAGGTTTGGGATTGATATCCGAACCTACTCCAAGGCCCTGATATGGTGTGGCCGCCCCGGCGGGTGACAAACCCTGTGGCCTACGCTACTGTATCCTCGATATATCTCGATATCCTGTTCTTTCTTTTTCCGCCTCATTTCATGCCGAATTTCATGCTACAACCCACAACTGGTCACCTACAACCCACAACCGGTCACCAACCCGCCCCAACCCTTTGCACAGCAACGTTTCATTGAGGCGGAAAGGAGGCGAAGCGGTGTCCCAGCGGTGTGTGCATTTTGGATGCCAAGGAGGTTGAAAACAGTTGGGATTCAGGGAGTGGCGTCCGGCTTCATCCGGCTTCTATGCCAAGATCTCAACCATCATTTGCTACTGAGTGGAGAAATGAATTCAATGATATTCAAGGCAGAATATTATATATACTTCTATTGATATTTGTTTATAGATACATGTGAAGTCATGGAATTCTTTCAAGGAGAACCCCAGCTGTTATTTGTATCAAAAAGGACATGATGAGTGAATTCAAGCGAAGACCGTTGTGAACTTCCCGAACCCACCAAGAAGGGACGTATTTTTCAGGTCGCGGTTTCTGCGCTGTTGCGATGATTTGAGGCATGTTCCAAGATGAGGATTGCCCCGTGACCTGCAAGGGCAATGAGAAGAAATGTCCCTCGGCACCGATCGCACCGAACCCGACATGTCCTGGAACCGGTGTGAAACCAAAAAACGCCACGGCCGTTCCGCTGTCTCGTGCCGTGTGGCGGTGTCTTCGTGTCCGAGCACATCTTCCGATGTGCCAGACATGCACTGACAGTGCACCGACAGTGCCATCCTGCATTTTACGGCCCAGGGCAGGGCGAAGGTGGCTCATTTGTAGCGCATTCCATTTTGGGGAGCGCTGATCTTGGCGCCTGGCAGGTATTCGGAGGTCCTGGCAGGTTGAGGTGGTGATTTATATGACACCATCCATGAGAGGAGAGTGGGCACTTCTAAACCCCTCCAATAAGATCCAATCAGTACTTTTGCGGATATGATGAGAAGTTTAGAATGAGGAGGACCAACCACCTCATGGGACCTCCAATATGCACTTCTGGAAGTGGATTGGGGGCCAGTTCAGTGGGGACGTTGGCCGCCCAGAAGTAGGATTGCAGACGAGAAATGTTGCACTGGGTCATTCGCTCCTGAGTGGAGAAGTTCTCCTGAGGGGTCGGCAATGAAGACGGATCGCCCATGGCAAAGGCAGACCTTTTGGCTTCAAGGCAAACGAAGTGATTCGCACCCTTTTCTGAAAGCCCGGTCTCAGATGGCTTTGACATTGAAGTACAGGAATGGCTTCATTGATGCAGAGGATGAGACGGTCAGCGGACCAGCGGCTCTTCAGCGCCGTGCCAGCAGTTTGCCACCCAGGATGTCAAAGATGGTCCAGGTTGAGGAGTTCTTGCAAGAGGAGGAGGGCTCAATCCAGCCTAGTCTATAAAGGCTCTTGAGACTTATAGGGCAATCCCTACATGTGAATTGTCAATCCTGTTTTCAGCAGGGGGGAAACGACCGTTCCCCACCTTGCACAACGCAGCTATGGAAGTTCGGTGGAAGGGTTCATGGACGCATGAAGCTGTACCTGCACACTATATCTTGATGGTGTAAACCATATTGATCATATTGTTTTCTGACCCTTCGCCGCGCCTTACTGTTTGCACGGGGTCATTGCAGGTTTGCCAGGTGAATGCAGGCCTCATTCTGAATGCTCTCACGAGCTCTCTTCCAAGTGTGTATCGCAGCATCGTCCCACTGTAGTGTGTGTGTGATCTCCAGTTCAGGGCGAGAAGACAACACTCCTTCTTGTTCGGAGTCATACTGTATTCATTGAACGTGTGATATTCATTCTTGCACTCAACTTTTTAAATATTGAAATCAAGCTGCAGAGCCACTGCAACCACCACTGATATCCAGCATTAATTCGCTATCATGCAGTGGAATTGTTAATCACGTTCCCCCTCTCTGTCATTTTTGTTTAATTACTTCTGTATGTTTTTTTCTCTTCTCTCCTTTCCTAAAGGCTTGTGAGGTCTAGTGCAGGATGTGCCGGACATACTCGGTTTCTTGTGTACCCCAAACACACACTGTTCCTGACTGAACTCATCTTCTAATTTGCCGCTCATTCGACACTCGTGTGTGTGTGTGTGTGTCAACCCCTGTCTCTAAGGATTGCCACCCTACATGTGAATTGTCAATCCTGTTCTCAGCAGGGGGGAAACGACCGTTCTTCCCACTTTGCACAATGAAGCTATGGAAGTTCGGCGGAAGGGTTCATGGACGCATGAACCTGCACCTGCAATGGTGGAAACTTTAAACCAAATTGTTTTCTGACCCTTCGCCTTACTGCTTGCAGCAGGCCTTTGCAGGTTCGGCAGCATTAACTAGATCGTAAAGGGTTATATGATATGCACATTTTGCATCATTCTGAATTATGCTCTTGCGAGCTCTCTTCTAAGCATGTTTGTTGGTCTTGAGTTCTTCATGTTTGACCGTAGGAGACCTATGTGCAGAAGCTCTCCGAGCGCCTCTCCAGCCCTTTAGATCGCAGCCCGCTCGCCAGTGGACCAACGACCGAGACTCAAGAGATGCTGAGTGGGAGCGTTGGACACCCAGAGCTTTGCTGGAGGCCCTGCCTCTTCTTGATGGCAGGACGCTTGGGAATACAAACACCGGACCCTGCGGACGAACGGGGTACGAACGGACCCTGTAAACAAGTCCCGGTGGTTCTCGGTCTAAGAGTCGATGGGAACATCGAGACGCGCGGTGCGTGCGCCATCTTCGTTGATGCTCCGACACTTTAGAGAACTTTGCGATTGCGATCGGACAATGGTCTGGACATTGTCCCATGTTGTCCCCTACCTAATCCAGCGCCCGAATTTCCCGTACCTCGCTCCCTCTTGTTTTCTACGTATCCCAGTGGATTCCTATCCCTTTCTTTTCAGGAAACGGTACGTGTGCGATCGACCGAAAAACTACTATCATCGGTAAGTCGATTGTTGAATGTTGATGAATATAACCTCCCGGGAGTGGAGATGTAAAACCATTTGGGAGACGTTTCTTTTTTTTAATCATCAACAGACACCATTGGTGGTCAGTGGATGATATCCACGTTGTTTACTTTATTGCACACAGGGTTCCTGTATAGACACCTGTCAAGACCGTGGCCTCAGGACCGAAGCAGGAATGGCCCCAAAAGCGAAGCTTTTGTCATTTGTTTGGTGATTGGTTGATGTACCGAGTCTTGAGCATCAACACAGACATGTTGACTTTTTATTGAACGGACATGGCCGGGGAGAAACGGTTGCTGATGTTACGACCTGGAGCACCATGGTTTCGACCATGGTTTCACCCGGGTTTCACCGAAATCAAAAAAACATCGATCTCGTGTGACCGAACAACATCGCGGATGTTTGCAGAGCTGACTTCTGGGATGCCTTTTGTCCTTCCCTTTCCATCAGGAAACTGCGAGAACGGCGCTGCTTGTGCTTTTTGCCACCTTCCACACGAGAACAAGGGGGGCAAGCCCAACAAGAAGCAGAGAGACTTCATGCAGTCCTTATCCCACTCCCAATTCTTCAACCTGATCTCCGCGCTTTGCCGGGAAAGGGCAATGCTTCTCAACATCACCCAAGAAGCGGGCGAAGTCTTGAAGATTTTGCAAGCGGAGGCGAAAAGAGAGACCAAAGAGACCATTGTCCTACACCTGTTTGGCCTGTTTGGTGTTAACATGGTCATCCAAATTGGGGCCATGGGCCATCCACGTAACCATGTGTCTTTTTTCAGGAAGCGTAACCCATTGTGCAACTGTATAAAGCCAACATTGGGCAGGCGACATTTAGTTCATTCTTTGGGCAGCTCTTGCCTTTGGAGTTTCTGCTCCCCATGCCGCCCGGCATCCAAGCTCCGGGCTGTGAGCGTTCCTGCGCGCGCATTAATTCCTGGTTACCCAAGTGAATCCTTCAATGCATGGGTGAGTGCGGAATCTGATAGGGTGGAGGTCATCGCTCTTCGGTTCGAGGCCGTTACTCGTCGGTTGGTTGCCGTTGCTAGTAGGCTGGATGCCACTGCTAGTAGGTTGAAAGCTATTGCTAGTGGGTTTCGCGCCATCCCTCTCAGTTGCGGATATTATTGATCTCTGGGATGGTCTCCCTTACTCGGCATCAACCACTGGAGTTCTTTCCGCCGGTCTCAGGAAGGCTCGAGCGTATCCATATACAATATACACGCGTGGGTCGGCCATGGAGGAAGAGTATCCCCTCCCAAAGAGACGGAAGGCGTGGCCGCTCATGTCTTACGTGGAGCGTTGCACTTCAATCTGGCCTCGCGCAGGTACTAAAGACAGATGGGTCTGATACAGATGATGTTGAGGCACAGTGTTGAACCACTCTTTCAGACTGCTTGGAATCGCAAGTAGTTTGAAGGAAATTGTGACTCTGGGACCAGTTCTTTAAAACAAATTGGACCATCAAATTTATTCAAGGGAGTGGGAGGTCTTTATTGCCTTGGCCAGAATTGCCAGAGGCATACTCAGCAGGCCCCATGAACGTTCCTGGACACCTTTGCAAAGTCTTGGCGCCTCGACGGGCGAGAGAAAACCTCGCGTGGTGCCAGCGCTTAGGGACCTGCCAGATTCGTCTAGATTCGGAGGAGCACATGTTCAATCATATGTCTCTTTGCTTATGAGCCCACCCTAGAAAGAGTTATGTTCCAAGCCCCGGAGAGGCCAATACATGTTCGCAGGGAGTTGGTGATGACTTTTGACTTCTGCTTTTCAGTACGTCCTCCCCGGCCAGGTCACCGGCTCTGTATTGTTTTAATATACCTTTGTCCATCCATCTTGGCTGTACAGGGATAGCATTTATATAATATCGAAAGATGTCCATCAAGACTTCGTATGTTTGGGCAGCCGATTGTCTGGACCCTTGATTTGGTATTCCATCTAAGCTTCACCAGAGAGAGATGGACAAGACTTGTAGGCTGCACTCAGCTCTCCGGCTGTTGGGGGTAGCTGCTCACCGCTGACGTGCTGACGTGCGTTTCCACACTCCGACAACGCGAGCGGAAATGCTTCATACAGTAACTCCCAGCGCGCTCAATAGAACAAATGCCGTTTGGATTTGGAGCAAATCCCTCGAAGTCCGCATAAAGAATGCTTGGCACCACCGTTCGACGAGTCAGGGACTTCCTATATATAGAGGAGTCAGGCTCCTCAAAAAGACCAACGCATTGAATGTTCACACCCCAGTTTGCAGGTTTCAGGCTCCTCACATCCGTAACTCGGCAACTTCGCTGACGCCACTCACGGATGGTCCGGGAAGTTTTTTTGTTGGTTTTGCATGGTGTTGCATGGTTTTTCCCCGAAGAGTCCTAGGAGAAAGGCACATGATGTTCTCAGGAAACTGAGTTGGTGACTTCATGCCATGAACAATGGTCAATTGTACACAAGCGTGGGGCGCGGTTCTATTCAGAGGCAGATTTTGGGTATTTTTTTCATGGCTTGAAAGATCTTGAAAGGTACGAAGCGTATTGCACTTTCAGGTGCAAAAACAGATGGCCAGCAAAAACAGTCCCCTCGGCAAATGTGACCAGCCGAGGATGAGTTGCGGGCATGCTTGCGAACGAGACAGTTCCGGGGAAACGCCGCGCCGGATGAGATATTTGACTGACTGAGTGTTTATGCATGTTTATGCACCGTCTATCTGACTGGGTGTTGCGGTGCTGCACCGTTTCCAGTCGCGAGGGTAGCTCCAAGGCTGCCTGTCGGGGGAAGCAGAAGTGTTCAGCAAAAACTTCACTGGTCCTTCATAGAAGCATAAGATTGTATATATAAGGGTTAAACTGGGTTTCGTCCATAGACCTGTGGGTATAGATATCGTCAGCATTTTGCTGAAACTGCTTTCCCTTTGAGACGGACCTCTCCTTGACTGAGTGTTTATACAAGCGTTGTCCATCTGACTGGGTGTTCTTCCCAGTCGAGAGGGTGGCTCCAAAGTGGCTGCCTGTCGGGGGCAAGCAGAAGTGTTCAGCGCAAACTTCCTTTGATTTGCCCTGATCCTTCAAAGAAGCATATAATGAATTATAATGATATAGCCAAACATCCTTTCGTCTTTCATTTATACAACCTTTGGCTATACATAGACGAAACTTCAGCATCCTTTTTTGCTGAAACTGCTTTCCCTTTCAAACGAACCAGCAAACTGGTCAACTTGTAGACCACGGAATCCTGGGGGATTCGTAGGTGGTTGAAAAGATCTTCCTTCATTCGACGAGTGAGGAAAACCCTTACTCGCCAAACGTTCCTTGAGCATGCCTTTGAGCATTAGCTGCGTCGCTATGCGTGGCTTAGAAATGCGAAACAGCTCAGAGACGATGCAAAAAAGACAAAACAAACACCCAACTGGTCCTGCGCCGCGCGAGCCGTGTTGCCGGAATACTCAGTTGCATCAGTTGTATTTGCGCATCTCGCCCTGTCAAGTCGTGAGCTTGGGGACTGGGGGACTGCCTATCCGACCTCAGCCGACCCATCAGGTGCCCAGAGAACTCACCAATCAAAGAGGAACCATCTCTTGGATCCACCAATAAGGCTATGAGTCCACCTACAATAAGAACGGCGAGTTCGTGAGCGACCGAGAAGTCTGCGCCCCTTGCCATGCATGCGGTGTTTGGTTTTTGGGCCATGAAACGTGTGGGATGCAACGGGGAAGAACGGCTCTTTTCGTTGGAAGGACTTTTTGACGTCTCGAGATCGGATGCCTGCGCGCCAGAACGTTGCACCCAGAACGTTTGCGCAGGATCTGCGAAGGAGGGACCTTGGGGAGCCCCGCGGGTGTGCACGATGGGCCTTGGTGGATCTATGTGGTATGTTTGTTCCTGAGTTGAAACGACCAAGCAGGTCTCTTGTGAGAGTCCAGACATGTCATTTCACGGTGTTTTGTGGTGGTTGGAGCCGGAGTGATCTCAGATCAAACATGAGCGCGGACAGAAGGGGTGTAGGTTAACGTGGCTAGGAATAGCAAGTGGAAGCTTTCACAAAGAAAACCATAGAACATGGACAATGTTGGGTTCTCCTTCATGAACACATACTTTAATCATAGCAGGAGATCAGATCCCCTGTTCTACGTCAAAAGTGATGAAATGTAATACCTGTCACGACATGCTGTTTGGCTGTTTGCCACGAATTCTAGACCTTTCTGAGATTCAGTCAGTGTAATATGATGTAATATGAGTATATAATAAGTTTATGATCAAAATGATGGTTGTGGAAATGAACTCCTCGGATTTTTGACAAAGCTACTTCCAGGGATGAAAACAAACACTCCACCATATCCATCATGTTTCCGAGCTCACGAGCGCGTATATTTGTGCCACCAGGTGGCTCGGAATGCCAGTTGCCCATGCAATGGACAGGGCATGAGAAAGCAGCTCGGCATAAAACGACCGTTTTCATTGAAATGACCGGAGTCCGTCAGTCCACTGACGAATTCTCTTTGGAGAGTCGAGTTCGTTCGTTGAAATCACCCGAAGTCCAAGCGATTTGCGTCGCCAGGGCCATGTCGAGAGCCCGAGGTTCGTCTTTCAGGGTCGGTTGGAGCCCTGTTACATCGAAGCCTGACGATCCTGACGTTCGGAACTGGTGGGTCATCCGAACAGGCTGACCGAAGAGGAAAGGGCGAACTCCAAAAAACACCACGCTGCGGTCTTTTGGGGACTCTTGGGGACAAAACCAACAGGTGGAAAAAGGCCAAACTTTCAGATTCCAAGGGCAACGGCTCGGGAATGATATGTTCGGCTTGCCAACTTAACATGTATATCTTTGCAATGGGGCCCCTTGTAAACGGTGTCTCAAGATGAGGCAAATTGATCCAAGTACTTGGACAATATATATATATATATATTTGTTTTTATTCACATACTACCAGGACCTTCAAAGTGACCTCTGTGGAGTATCTTAGTGACCTTTTAGTGACTAAGTGACGGTCACTTTGAAGGTCCGGTAGTATATGCTTACGCTCATTTCGGCCACTTTGGGGTTGCAATCGCGCCGCCCATTCGTTCAGAGAACTGAGAGTGGATTTTGGCTTGAATTTTTGTCCCTTTTTCCTCCAAACCTTTTGCGTTAGGGTGAGGAGCATGACTTCTCCCAGCCGAAGGACGCCGAGACGCCGAAGGAAGCGACGCCACGGACCGAAGGTTTTCCTTTCGGTGACCTCGGAGACTCGTGGTTCCGCTGGCTTTCGTCTCAGGTGCGAAACCCTGGAGCTTTGCCTCTTAGAGAGTGAGATGGAGCTGCTTTGCCCTTGCAAGGCCCCCCCCACGCACGTGCATGTGGCGTGTTCGCAACGCGACGTGCAAAACATCCCTGGCGCGCAAAGTGAACCGCGTTTTCTGGCTGTTTGACCTGAACTGTACAGATGGTGTCCAAAGCATTTCAGTCTTTTTCTTCCATGTGGATGTTGGGGAAAAACGTTAAAAAACAACAACCGCCAAGACTTCCAAAAAGGTGATGGTGATGTTTGATGGTTTCGAGTGCCAGTTGGGAGACCGCCTTTTCAGTGGACTCTGTAGACTCCGGACCGGGGTGGGTGCGCGGTAGAAAAGAACTAAGGAGAAGATACAGACACAAGTGCGAACAAAAGACTAAGAATTCGAAGTATGCTCGACCAGATGATCAACTAAAGTTTAAAGACCACGTATTCTTATAACATACTAGCCTGATGGTGTTTCGTTCGACAGGAGCGGGAGGAGCAGTGCTATGTGGTGAACTACGACAAGTATGGGTCTCTTGGCCTGGATCGTCCCAGTGACTGAACTTGATCGGAACAGAGGAGTCCCAAAAAGGTACAGGGCAGGAACAGGTCACACGCAAACAGCTGAATTCGGGACTCCAAAGAGGTCACTGGGAAGGTCCTGGCGGATAAATCGTTATAGAACTAGAACTCTCTCTCTCTCTCTCCCTGTCTCTATGATATACTGTATATATTATTGGCACCACATCCCACCAACCCGAGTCCATAGCAGTCCATACCAGCTCGCTGGCTGACACTGGCGACTCTGGACAGGGGGAAGATCGCCGCGGCTGTCGTGGCTTCTGGGGGATCCGGGAGTCCACCGTAAGGGGGAAGATCAGAGCGGCAAGAAGGGAAGATCGATGGAGTAGCTTATATAGTGCTTTCACAGTTGAAGGAACCTCCTTGACTCACATGACATGACTTGGTCTTTTCTGTGCCGATTTGTTGGGGAACATCAAACTATGGCGGTGAGCCCTATCTCGGTTCGGAAGATGAGTCGATCAAGGTTCTACACAACGCACAAGGCGTTCTGGTGACAAACTCCGTTCTTCATCGTCTTTTCACAAGGCGAGTTCACTTAAGGGTCAAACTATCGGAACCCAATGATGCCAGCCCTTCCACTCCTTTGATGAAACACCACCAGCCCCCACAGTTCTTTCCTTGAACGGCGTGGCACTCCTCCTTCGGCACCACGTTTGGCCGTCGTGGATGCCCGTCCGTTTTGGCCGTCAGGAAGGTGAGCGACTTTGAAACGCAATGCGTGCAAAAGGGCAGTGCCTGCAAGTGTGGGAAGAACACCGAGAGCTGCCCCGATCCCAACGATGCACCTTGGTTCTTTGGGGCGCCTGAGAACATCAGCGAGTCAGCGATTGGTTGGAGTGTTTTTGGGGTTGACGGAGTGGGGTGAAGTCCACCGTTGGGGTGACGTACACATGCAGTGAGATAGTGATAGTGTGATGCTTCTGGTTCCTGGTTCGGATCAAGCATCACTTTGTTTGGGGTGATTCGGTGCGATTGTGCCCATATCCGGATAGACATCAGAGTCATTAATACTTGTTCTTCAGGAGGAAAGCACCGTAAGATGCATTGTTCTGTTAGATTGTTAAACTTTGACATGCAAAATTCAAGCACGGGTTATGTGAAGAGAAGGGCCCCTGCTGCGACTTCCTTTGCGACTTCCTTGACACGTCCTGCGTGTTCACTCACGCTACTAGCAAGTATCGCTTCACTTGACAGGGTTCATAAAGCACAGGCTGTGTTGGTCAATGTTTTAAAAGACCGCGAACAGTTTCCTGACCAATTTGGGAACGGTCCCTTCTGATAATTATGTAATTCATATATTGATATTCTACAGAGTAAGTCGTAAGTTCTAAGAATGCACTTTGTTTGGTTGGTGTTCCCCTGGTGTGCTTTTGTCGTGGAGTCATAGCCTTCGTCGTCCTCGGATCCAGAATATAGAATCACAGGACCATTCAAGGGATGGTATGTTTTTAATTCCTAAGTCATTCAGCTGGGTAGTCCTTCAGCTGGGACATCCATGGATTGGACAGTGCAAGCCCTCTCATGTCGATCCTTCAACTCTCCCTATGTGCCGGTCGGACCGACAGCCACGCAGGTCAGACCTGTCTGGTCTGCCCGTCGGTCTGCCCACCATCAACACGCCGGTCACCGGTCACCGGTGGGGACTGGGCTGGGCGTACCGACGGACCTGACCCACCCGACACTGGTAGGCGAAGGCCAAGATCTGCGTGCCCCGCTTGGGCTTCAAGAGTTGCCCCAAGCCTTGCACCTCAGAGGAGATCCGCGGAGGCCGTTTGGCGGCGGCCCGCGATGCCCGCGGGGGCGCGTGCTTATGAAAGTATACGCTTGTTCACGGCGATGCCAAAGACAATCTGCACAAAGCTAACAGAGCTGTGACACAGCTTACCAGTCCTCTGCAGTAGTATAATGTAGTATAAATATCAGATCATTTATATCCATTTATAGATCGCTTTCACATGTTTTTCAACGTCTTTCAACAAGAACACCACATTGACCCTCAATGTATGGACCACTTTCTTCAATGATTCACATCTGCAAGCCCACCGAGGTCATTTGGAGGCGCGAAATGTTCACACTGCTTCACAAGACAACTACTCCCCCCTTTGAACCCGCCTTTGAACCAGCCATTGAAAAAGAAAGACACATATTGAACCCCCGGCACCCCATGAAACCACGTGCAGGGAACGTGACCTGCGTGCAGACCAACCTGGACTCTTCCGGGAACTTCAAGTCGGAGACGGCGAGAGACGGCGAGTCGGAGCGGCGTCCGTCGGAGAAGCGGACGAGGGGCCTGACCTGGTCATCAAATGTTGTCCCTCCAAATCGAAGAACTGGACTGGTGGGTGTGAACATGACATACAAGAGTGGGTAGATGATCACTAAGTTGAGTCTGAACAAGGTCTGCCTTCCGTTACCATTTGCCGTTACTGGGACTGGGATATAGAGCATGATATACCCATATAATCAAGCTGGACTCCAACAAGCAGCACCTTAGAACTTAAAGGCAGAAATTGGGTTTGTCTCGAGTTAAAGAAGACCACTTAGCAACTGGACCATGTAGAGTTGTAGATGGTCAACCATGATCAAACAAATGGAAGGTTCCCCATGTCCGGTTTGCACTTGCCTAGGCTATTGAATACGTGATGCCCAGGCATGTTGGTAGACCAGTCCATAAACCATACTTGACAAAGAGGTGCTGAAGCATGGACGGTGGTATCACAACCGGAAAGACCTGTTTTGGAGTGCACAACGGCAGGTGGAGAGTTGCACATGTTCCACCGGTTGCCAAGTCTGAAATGAACCCCAGCAACCCTGTCAATTGACATGAAAGAATCACACACACACACGTGGACTGGGTGGTGGTTTCAGTTTATGTTCAACCTTTACTTGGGATGAACGCCCTAAGAATCCGGTCTCGGGCCTCGGCAGATCTGTTCATCTCCCGGTCTTGTCTCGGGCCATCCGGGCCGTCCAGGCGCCACCGACGCGGACAGGTGACCTGCATCGGCGCCAACGACACTTGCCCCATCGGTGAAGGGATGAAGCGCTGTGCCAGTGGCGCCATGATCGCGGTGAACGAGAAGTGTCGGAGCCTGTGACCCCCCGTGTCGTCATCAGGAAACGGTCAGGTCGACTGAAGTCACAGATGGAGAGGTATAAATGGGATTAAATGGGCATAATTTAGGTCTTGGAATTGGCCTCAGAGCCATAGAGCCATAGAGCTCGGAGATGTTTATTGCCTGCTGCGCCGGGCTGGTGCGCCGATGGTCTCCTATGGTCCCATGGTGCAGCACCATGCCCTACCGTCCGAGCAGGTACTCCGCGGCCACGACGGGAACCCGGCGGTTGAGCAGCAAAGCACCCGTGCGGGAGTCGGTGAAGGTGATCATCACGTTGGGATCCAGTAGAGTCTCGATTAAAGGATTTGTGGACATATGGGTGTGCATATGTGTATGTGTGCATGGAAGGATGAATAGGGAACCCTCCCAAAGACCTCTGGGAAAATCAAACACAGACTCGACTGAGATCCCCTATTAAAATACACACCCACAGGGTTTTTTGGATGGTTTGGGGTTCAGCCTGTAAATGAACGATGTGAGTCATTGAAACCCTTGGTCACTTATTCTCATGGCTCACAAGATGTGTTCATGGCTCAGATTCGTGCTTGTTCATGCTTCTTGCAGCTGAGACAAACAATGTTTGAGACCTTGTGCCTAGGTGGCTTGTGTTCCAAGAACTGCTATATTCTGCTCCTTCAATCTATCTAGGCCTAATGATCTGAAAAGGAACAGGACATGATAAAAGGAAACACCAGCTGTTCATTATCTGGAGCCATGACGCAGCCGAGTTGGCTTGAAACCACTGGACACGGGACACATGTCCATCCATATTTTGAGAGGATCCAGCTATACATCCTTCGCTTTTGAACACTAGGTGGTGGTTTCGGAATATGTCTATGTTCAAACATCTTCAACCTTTAATTGAACCAGATTGAACCCACTAACTCCTATCTTTCGTTTCGGTTTCGTTGAAACCACCCACCAGCACCAAGTGTATGATTGTTTTATCATGGCTTTGCCAGGTCGGACCCCGGTTCGTCAGCGTTGGCACGGTTCGGAACCGGTGTTGCTGTCTCCCAGAAACGGATGCTGCTTCCCATGCAGAGACGGCGCGGGTGAAGCTCAACAGTGTACCTGGGACCGACCTTGGAAAGAAAGCTGGGGGCTGATGCGGGATGCAATGGAAGAGCATCCGCGGATGTAGTTCTGAACGAGTAACAAGGGCATCGCTACTATAGGAACAAGTCGCATTACTACTAATGTAGACTCTTGATTAATAAACCATCCCAGTTGAATGCACTCACTTGCGGACTGTTCGCAACCACAAACGAACCCTTGCCATATTGTATGGCGGGTTTCGGTGGTAGTGTCAGTTGGTGAGATGAGTCAACTACAATGTGCTATACAGTATGGGACATGTTGTCCCCATCCTCCATCCTACGTCGGTCTGGCTAGCGAACGAAGGAAAGTGTAGTCATCTCAAGGACCAACCCTTCAAGACAAAATGAACAAGAATTACGAATTCAACGAATTAATTAATGGGCCCGCTCGGATGGGCTATTGTATCGAAATCTTTATGCCGGAACAGTGCATAACGAACATGTTGGACAAATGCGTCTGCTTTGGCACGCTCAACTTCTGGCCAATTTGGCCATGGGGGTGGATCTGGGTTTCGAGGTTAGAGAGGGGAGCAAAATTTCTGTATGGAACGGTGGATCGTGTGGCATAGTTTTTAGCATCGTATGAATTGTACCATACGTTTCAGCTGCGTTAGGCAACTGTGGCCTCCTGGACATACCCCGTTCATGGTCATGAGTGAAACCTAGTCGTGTCAGACTAGATGTGCCTTGCTTCTTGTATACTGGAATGATTTTTGTTCGCGAGAACGTTTGAATATGCTTAAACATCCATCGGAAATTTTCCGCCAAGACCCGGATGGACCGTGATTTAACTGGGAGCAACTGAACTTGGGGGTCCTGGTAGGCAAGATACTGATAGGTTGTACCCTCTTTGATGCGAATTGGCAAATATTGGTTAGACCAAATCATGAACGAGATAGCTAGTTCCATCCATGAAATGCCAGGGTCAGTAGGTTGGCGTGGGGTATTGGGATCAGGCCAACGCAAGAGTGTACAAAATTGCCACACCAAATGCGTCATATTTGTGCCCCATACACTGCACCAGAATACAACCCTATGCGGGATTGGCGGGATGTCGAAGGCTGCTTCTTGCACTTGCCATTGTTGGAGTTTTTGGATCTGTTGCTGAAATACATCAACCCCTTCACCGGACGTTGGTCCACCCTCAGCATTGATAGTGCGCTTTTGTTTTGTGTTGTCCAGTTTGTACATCCTAGCATGTGCTAGGTCGATTAAATACATGTAGATTTTATGGAAAATCCCAGTTGAATTGGAAATGCTCTTCATATGGGGGGTTTATTAATGAAGAGTCTACATTTAGTAATTAGCGGCATTTTCGGGTCCAACTGAGACTCGAGCCCTCTTCCGGTCCAACTCTCTTGACTCGCTGCTAGCATGGGGGTCGCTATCTAATTCGCTGGAGCCGAGAGGGGTGGGTTTGGGGTCCAGTTCTTTTTGTCTGAATGTTCAGTAGCCAAGCCATATGATCAGTTTGATCGAATCTCAAGGAACCCAGTGGGTGAGGATACTACATGGCACCGCTCTTCAAGGACAAAATCCTAGAAGGTCTCAGATAGAGTATGTAGCTCAATATCATCCAATATCATGTACTTTGATGCTTTGTCCCAACAATTTACTGATGTTTTCCACCAAGAGTAAGTATTGTCTGCGATGAGCAACAAGTCCAGCTGTTTTTTGCTAATGTCCTGGACACAGCGCACCGTGCTGCAGCCCAGCAGGTTCTCCCTTTCGACCGAAAAGCCAGCTCCGAAAATATGTGACATTGATGTGGCCTCCATAAGGTGGCATTGAACCAGAGATGTGACTGTGAAAATCTGCCAGTGATCAGTGATCCACCACAGATTCCTGAAATCAACATAGCACAACAAGCCTTAAGTAGTTTAGTCCCTGGCACACCTGACTGAGTTTCTCAACGGCCTTCACCGCTCAAGGTCCTCCAACTTCCTAATGGCATGACTTCGTCGATCGTGATCAAGACCTCGCGTGCAACACGTCGCGCCTCGTCGAAGAGAAGGAGTCACCCTGTGGTGGTTTGACCTTCCAGTTGAGAGATCGATTCGGCAACCAGGACACCCCGTGTTTGATCCAAGCTCTTCCTTCTCTCCTTGTTTGTTTCCTTCTCCCCTTGTTTGTTTGTCCCACCCCCTTGTCGCCATCCACTCCTGTGCAGGCGTTTCGGAGCGTAGCTTGAGCACCAGCAGCAAGGGAAGTTTGATCTACACTGTGGAAAATCAAGGAGGGGCCGCGTTGATGAAGCCAGCGGCGTGGTTCGGTTGGTTTTTTTGGGTGAAAGTTGCGTGCAGGATCTTGCAGGGGTTTGGACGAAACGGTGCGCGGGAGGCGGGGGAGTGGAAAGTGGAGAAGAAATACGTGCACAAGTTGGACCAGACAGCTCCACCAGATCGAGCTGAGATTTTTCAGTCGACTTCAAAGATGTTGGGAAGGGACATCGTACTAGTATGATTGTGTGATTATATAAATATAACATAATTATGTTATATTATACATCTTCCTGCCGAAGAATGCGAGCGTTCTACGCTGTGACAGTACGGTTGTGCTTCGCTGCTTTGCGACCATGACGTCATGAGCGCATCGAGTTTTGGGGCCCAGTGGGCTTACTTAATAGAGGGGATACCCTCAAGTGTACAAGCAATAGATGGCTGGCTAGTACCAAATCCACCCCACTGTCTTCCCGTGACCGGTCAGACATGATTCCTGGGCCAAATGGCAGGAACCTCGACAGTGCCTGCGACACAAGTGGGCGAGGAGCTGAAGAAGATGGTGAAGAGCAGCAGTTCCATGTTGACGAAGGCCTTTGTTTTGGACCTTGCCATACCCTGCTTATTTTTGCGCCTATTTATGTCCCTCCTAGCAGAGCCTGTCACTGGTTTTCGGTGGTTTCTGGACAAGTGTAATCAGCAAGCAGTCCACTTACTGTACCATGGGTCTTCATCCCCAAATAGCTCGGCTTCTTTTTCACTTCATGATATCCTCTTCATCGCAACATATGGATGTGTCAAGTGATTTTACGAACGGTCTTCATCCCAAACTCCCTGGAGACTTGGCCGTGAGGTCCAAATCCGGAGACTGTTGACTTCCCTGGTATATAGATGGACTTCCCCGGCTAGGGTACGCCCGCTTTGAATCCACAGCTTTGTTTCCTCATGGTTTCCTCTGCTTTGTGCTGGGTTTCTTGCAGAACTCATCATGTGTCATGTATTTTTATGAGAAGCTACTAGTAACAAGTGCATCGCTACTAGGAACAAGTGCCTTACTACTAGTAACAAGGTTCGCTACTAGTAACATTGTACAAGAAAACACTGATTTTCTCAGTATTCTAATCCGGACTGATCCACTTGATCCACTTGCCGCGGACCTCCGGATCCACCGGCCGGGCGCTTCCAGAGCTATGCCGGCCTGGAACATGTTCCAGGTCAGTGAGATGCAGTTGCTTGTACTAGGCCTAAAACCCTAAAAACATTGGGGAAATGAAGAAAAATCCACTCAAATCCCAGAAGTGGTCAAAGGTGAACCTTTATGTTCCAGGTGCAATGGCTCAAGACTGAAGAGAGGTTATACGGCTCTGGGTGAAAACCTGGAGCCCTGGTCCACCATTTGATGCGAACCACCGTCATGTTGGGAGGTCAACCTAGGTCTCCTGGTGCCAGGAGAGAGACGGAGAGAGAGCCATGTATTGTTCATATAACCGATTCACCATTGTTCACACCATAAATCCCTTGGTCCCACTACCGAAGAGCATTTTGGGCGGTCCCGAACTCTCGGTCGATTTACGAGACGAGGAAGCTCTCACTGAAGACTACTTCAGGCTTACTACTTCAGGCTTAAGGTGTTTTGTTTTTGTTTGTGGTTTACAAGTGTCTTCAGAATGCATTTGAGAGGTGCAATCTATGTATAAAACCTGAGGAGCTTGATTGTGAGGGTTAAAACATAGATCCTTTAGATCTCACCTTTCAACAGACAAAGAGGCCCACGCACACATTAAGAATGCATTGTTTACACTGTACACATCGATGAAACATCATTACATGGTGTGTTCAGTCTTGATTTTTGGGTTGCAAACTTTAATGACTCTGATTCTATACTATATAAATTGTCTGTTACTGTAGGTCCTTTCCCTTCCCATCCCTTCCCCCCCTCTTTGTGTCTCCAGGCCTTGAGCTTGGTGGGTGAGGTGGATTCCAAGGCGCGGTGTCCACCGGTCTGACAGGTCGGCGAACAGGTCGCAACCGGTCGCCCAACGCAGCGAGTCAAACGACGGCAGCAAGGTATGAAATGCCTAGTTGTTGTTGTGGTTGTTGCGTTTAAGAAAAAGAATACGCGTATAAACACCTGGTGTTCTAGCGCTTGGCAGACAGCTTGTTCACATGAAAGCTTCATGGGCTGGTTTTGGAATGGACATATGAGAAATCAGGTTCTTTGAGGGTGCGCCGGGAGTGAAATTCATTGAATTTGTAGATCTTCCCAGTGGAGTTGGTGGGTGATTCTATGACATGCCCAACTATCGCAGAATTGCACAGGGCGGTGCAGATAACACCAAAAAGGGTAGACAGTCGGAGAGTTGCCCATGCTGGATGGATACCTCCTGCACTGACTGAGCGCCTTGTCCAGCTGTCCACAGGCGGGGGTGACCATCAAGGCCACTAGCACGGTGCTCCAGAGCCGTGCCACGGCTGCTCAGGAGGAAAAGATGAAACAGGCGCCTGCCTCTCGAGCTGAAGTGATGCCGGTGTTAGTTGGAGCTTCACCATGCGGAAGAGAAACACACGATGTTTGTCGGGTGTTTTCGGTAGCTGCTTGGATGTGGAGCTTGGGATGTAAGAATGGAACATAGAACATGTAGAGTGTAGAGTTTGACCAGGGGGAAGTCAGAATTGGACCAATTTCCTTTGCCACCTGCTTATTGTACTCAAAACTCTCCAAATAATCAGTTGGGAGGGGACAACCCTTCCAGCTCTTTGTTGCTCGCTTTGGTCGGACAATGAACGGCTAGAGTTACTATCCTGCTCTCTGTTGAACTTGCTTGGTATAATGTATCACAATGAGGTCCACACTCCCCACTCCACACTCTATCTTGGTATTTAGGTTCGTCAACACATGCATCACCATGGACAAGTAAGTGGCGTCAAGTTATATCCATTCCTCCATCCCCCCAGCTGCTCCAGGCAGGCATCACCACACGCAGCACCAGCAAGGCACGGGTGGCAAGGGTGGCATGGGCGCCCTCGCAATGAAAGGGGATGTGAGAGACAGGGACCAAGCTGGAAGGACCAAAACAAGACACGCAGATACCAAGAGAGTTTCTGTCTTCTTTTTTGTGACCTGAAAAAGGACCCTACCTACTGGGGTACCTATGTTTAATAGCCTATAGGGCCTATAGGGTCGGGTTCTTAACCTTTGTTGGTAGTTGTAGTAGTTTGCGTGATGCAGAATCATGTTCAGTGCTTGCGATGACTGTGGACTAGGATGTACATTCCAGACCAACTTGTGTCCCTGCGCGAGCAAGTCCGGGTCTCCCGTTGGAACACGAGCGATGCGACAATAGGCACACTCAGTGAGAGTCCCTATAGCCTATAGCTTACAGCTGCTGAGTCACCAGGCAGATGGGACGTTTGCTGTGTTGAAATATGTTGCAACGTCCATAGACATCCCTTGAGACGAATCACATCCCTTGCGACGACCTCTGTTTCGGGTTTGAACCGTGCCCAATCGAAACCGAAACAAGTTTTATCTCTTCTTCCCCCAACTGGTGAGTGTCACGCAATCGTTTTCCCTCGCTCAGGCTCCTACCACACCAAGGACGGATCGCTGAGGTTCTTTCGCAGTCTTGTTACGTTCGTAGCGATGGCCTCCAACCTACTAGCGATGACCTCCAACCTAACAGCGATGGCCGCCACCTAGTAGTGTCCTTGCTCCTAGTAGTAATGCCCTTTGCTACTAGGCAGCTCAAGAGCAGATTATGCATGATGACTCATGCTTGGCAAACGGCAAAAGCAGGCAAAAGATAATATATTGATTTATGTTCCTGCAGTATTTCGATTGCACGAATGCACAGTTCGAACAGTTTGGATGGCCTTAGTTCTGGACCTTCTTCTTCCGGACCTTTTTCTTGCGACCCAGAGCTTCCCGCTGTGTGAATCCCATCACAGGATCTCAACGACTGTGCCTCGGTGTTGTTTTTTTAGCAAATGGTTCGGGTGCTGGGTGCTTGAGGTTGATCGCCCTAAAACCAGGGGTGTGTGCGTTGAGAGCCCTGCTTGGAGTGGTCCGCTGAACCCGCGTGACGGCTGAACCCCCAGTCGGATCAGTCTGGGTGAAGGTGGCAGGCTGCACCGGCGTAGCTCTTGGCTTGCTTGATAAAAGCTCCTTGCTTTCAACCAGGGCTTCAGCTTCATCTTTTTATCATTGTTCCCATCCAAAGAACGCTTATTATGATGGTTGATGATTGGTTTCAATCAAGTATCTGCGCATGTTCAACGGAACATTGGTTTCTCTTAATGCTTCCCCCTTGTGCAGGATAGGGCCTCATATAGATCATCCGAAAGTTGGTGAGGAAAACCTAGGTAGGTCACTTCTTGACCCGCTTCTGCTGAAATCAGCTGCAGATTCACCGCCCGCTGCGCTGAGGTCACGGATGGCACCTCGATGGGAAATCGGGCGGATGGACAGTCCATGTCGAGGAAGGTTTTTGGGGTATCCGGAAGATCCAAGTCGAGCTGGTACGAGGGGTTTGGGCTGTCAGCGGAGGTTCTGGATCTCACCCTCGCACTCCCATCCACTTGAAGCAGGGAGTGACGGGTTTGTGGGGGGAAGCATGGATTTTACTGGATTCCATTAGCAGCTTGCTGCGCTCGCGACTGATTTTGGGGAAGGTCGACGTGGACCTCGCATCAATGGATCCCGATTGCGCTCGCTAAGCTCCACTGGAAACAGACCGTGAGACTGGGCCGTGGGAGAATTCTGCAGGCTCCTAGGAGGGTCTGAGAAGTTCCAGGACTATAGGTTCATGAACGGTGCGCGCGCGGTGGCGCAGATGGGCCCAAGGGTTCCTGGTCGTCTCTGACGGTGTACATCCGATCATACACCCAAAACACGAACAGAATCTTTAGAGGCCCCATAAACACCTCGTTTCTGCGTGAGAGCCATTTGGCTTTGGCTTTCAGCGTAGTAGGTTCATTCCGATTCACTTGTGCTTTCAGTGTAGCGAGTGTAGGTTCATTCTCTTGTTCCTACCATTCAGGGCCACCCTCCCTCCTTCGGCCTCACGCATTTGAGGAAATCTCTCTGGGCAAATCTCCTCAGCGTCAGACACTTTCTGTGCCCCGGACTGGGTTTGATGTTCACTTCTTATGTGGTCGAGACCATGGGGGTTGTTGGGAAAGCTTCGCTCCGGAAAAACAAGAAACTGTTATGTTGAGTGGCCAATATATCATGCAATTGGAGAAATGAAGGTTTCTGGCTTGTTTCTGGCTTGTTTGTATTCAGCATCACTGGTGAGCAATGTTCATTGCGTGCTTTGTTGTCGCGCAGAGAAGATGGAACACCCATGTAACATGTCCAGTTGTTTTCGCCTCTAGACTAAGTGGTGGTTTCGGATATTTCTATGTTCAACCTTTGCTTGGGATTATTGAACCCACTGACTCATTCTTTTGTTTGTGAGTTGAAACCATCAACCTGCCGCAACATGCTCAACCTTTGGTTGTTTGGAAGCTGTTGAACCCAACACAAACGATGTTTGTTTCTTCCTAGAGATCCACACACACACACAGTTCTTCAGCTGTGGATCCGCAGATCCATAGCAGCCAGCAAACCCAGGGATGTGGTCTCTACATCACCAATCACTGAGGCTCGCTGGCTTTCGTGGCCGCGCTGGCTGTGTTGTGAGCGCTGTGACTGGGCGCGGAGGCCACCTGGTTGTGGACGTCCGGGAGACTCCATTTGGGGTGTCAGAGATGCTCAGAGCAACCCAGCTGACAGAAATGGTCAACTTCTACCACCAGCTCGTGAACTTTTTTTGTTGAGCACTCCAAAGAAGTTGCTCATAGGACAGGTCCGCATTGGTTTTCCTTTTGGTTAAGAAATTCGATCATGTAAAACTTTGCTGCCAATGTTGGGTCGAACCTGAAGAACTCAACAACGTGCCCCTGCTATGACCAGACACAGGTGACCCTGCTCAGCATGAACCTCCGAGCCGGGGATGTGCTCGTTTTCTTTTTCACGGAATCCCATCGCAAAAAAACAGTCCAGTTCCCAGAACACCAGGCGTGAATCCAATTGCATTTGAGAGTCTTAAGCTTTTGAACCCTTTTGACATGTTTTGAACCCTTTTTGTTGCAGCACTGTGAAGCGCCTCTGCTTGCGGGTTGTTGTTGGCTCCTAGGATCTACGACCTTCTAGATAACAGCTGCTCGAGACTCTAGACAAGATATCAAATTTTTAACCAACCAAGTTACCTCTAGACACGTGTCCCAGGAATCATCCTTTGAACCCTTGTGGTGAAAGAGAGCTATCTAGATTGTAGGAGCATGCTTTTTCCCATTGCTTGTGGTAGTCAGAGCTGCGACACAGCGCCTACCTTCAAAATTTGTGATGGCAAATTGCTCCAGGTCTGTCTCTCAAAGCAACCCATGCAAACGCCGCGTGGCGCTAGCGACACATTAGGCACTTGAACAAACGAAACATAAAGAAACCAGTGAGATCAGTTTCTTAACTCTTTAGACCAACTATGAGAACCTTTTTCTGGAACACACGTGGCCTCAGAGTTGCCCGAAAAACTGGGCCATGGGGGTTCACTCCCCCATCAGGACGCTGAAAAGGGATCAGAACTGAAAAGGGATGTCATCGATATCAGTTCTTTGCTTTGCTTTGGACTGCGAACGGGACTGTATGGAGCGTTGGGGAACCTTGAATTGCGATACCATGGCAGCAGAATGGCCAGCATTTTTTGAGTAGTGGTCACGACTAGCGGCTTTGACTATGTGTCCGTCACGATCCACTCTGTGTGTGTGCCGGGGGTTTTGGACACCCAGAACCTCTAGGCTGAGCATAGTTACCTCACGAGCTACTGAACATCACCACTGCAAGAGTTGGTCAGACTCTCACGTCTCGTGTACAGTAATATATGTTTGTCACCGAAATCGATGCGTCCGGTGTGAGGAAAGCGTCCACAAAGAACACATATACTCCCTCAAATAAATCATGTAACCCATGGATGATGGCATGGCCCCAAAAGGACGGCCATTGGCCATCCTCTACAGGTGGTGAACTTCACTAAACCTGACTCCAGGCAGTTTTGAGTGTTTTGTAACCGGTGCTCAGCCACCCGACCCAGCACAAACACGGGCTCAGCCCCGGCTGCCGGATCCTGCTCGCTCAGGTCGCTACTTAGCCCGATAGCCCCGGCCGATGGCCCGGGGCTGGAGACATCGATCGTCTCCATTTTTCCCATGGCACCGACACCGAAGCTCTGTGAAGACAGACTTCGTGGGCGCCGTGATTTCTCTTTTTTGCTTTGCGGATCAACGTGCGGTGCACGGTTTTTCTGTGTTGATCTTTTTTTGGCACGGCCGCAAACATAGAGGCGCCACGGTCTGGTGGTAGAGTTGTTCAAGACTGGTAAGCTAGAAATTCTAATTTCTTGGTGGGATGATCAGTCTAATTCTTACTGTGTTCCGAACTCTTGTTCAAATCCGTGGACTGCATAAGCCACCTGGGAAATGAGAGCAAAGTTCTGAGGTACCATTTGTTGGAAGGACACATCGCTCATCCTTGGATCCATGAAGTGATGATTTGGACAGCTAAGCTCATTTCATTGAAAGTAAACCCTTCTATCCTAGATAGTTTGTTTGGATTTGGTAGTCCTCCTAGACTGATTATAGCCGCTTGTTGGGGTCGAGTTTGTCAAATTTCGCGAGCTAAGGGGGCACTCCCGTTCCAGTCATACAAAAAAAAAAATAACTTTTTCTATTGGTTAAAGTAAGGGTGAAGCGCACACAAGTGAGGGTGCACACTGCCTTTTCCTAAGCGCGGTTGGTCCTCAGTGTTTGGCCTTTTTGGCCTCTGTGAGACCTCGTTCCATCTGCCGTTTTTTGGCTAGGGCTTTTGCCCGGTTCTCTTGCACCCTTCGCAGGACATCCTCCGCCTTTTTCTTTTCACCATCCTCCTCCATCATCCGTTCACCATCCTCCTCCTTTTTCTTTTCACCATCCTCCTTCATCATCTTTCCACGAGCCTCTTCCTTTTTCTTCTCACCATCCTCCTCCAGCATCATTCCACCATCCTC